GAGCAATGGACTTTTCCGCATGTAGCTCGTCCAGTTTGCGCCATCTGACCATCTGGTGTTGTAAGGGTGTCACAGGTTACGAGACCTTTCTGCGAGTGTTAACGACCACGTATGATTCGGCGTGATGGCATGGTAATGCGTATGGGATGATCGAACAGAATGGAATGGTAGTAAGGTGAGATGTGATCTGATGCGTCTAGACCCAAATCAAAACTGGCGGCAGGAAATATTTTATCCAAGTTGAACGTTGGTCACGTATGTAGGCACTTAAGTCAGAGTAGGTAAAGCTGGCTGCTGAACGGTAAGACTAAGTAACACTTAATTTTAAGCTGTATTTATTCACAATCATGATTTTTGACTTGAATCAGTGGTATGCAAATGATCACACTTCTGCTCAATTGCTCAAGTTTACTTTGGTAGAATATGTGTTACCTGCACAGTGGTATAGATTTGAATTTTTCATTTTTATGTAGCCTATCAAATGAGTGAATCAATGATAACATGAAATAACTGAATAGTGACTATATAAAAATCAACTCAAGAAACCCTGGGCAATCATGAAGTGATAAAGTGGTAACTTTAGATTTAAGTCAGTTTCAATGAATGCTTCTCATGATTGGCTTTTGACACTACACTAAATTATCAATATATATCAGTGTGTTTAAAAAATTCAGAATGTAGAAAAAATCCCAGTGATACATGAGAAGAGGTCAATTTTTCAAAAAAAAAAATGATGAAAGAATCTGGATGTACCCTCTGATAATTTTGTATATTTTTGTATATTTTTATCTTTTATAGTTTTGAAGATGCCCTAAAGAAAAATGATCAAATGGAAGATCATCTCAGAAACTTAAGTTATGTCCAAAACTATCAAGATTTGAGCGAACCACATTTCACTCGATTCCTACTGAGAGGATCTTCAAGTACATGGTTATCTTTATTGCCATTTGCAATACCAAGCACTACCAGGGGATCATGATGACCATGAAATAATTGGATACTGCGGAAGCATTCTGTTTGGTTTTAGAAGTGAATAGATTTTCTTATTAAGATTTTTCATTTAAAGGAAACTAACCCTTTGAATGCTGGGTCCCATTAGGTATTTTGGTTATCAAAGATGGAGGACATTTTTGCCTCTGGCTCCATCCTTCCAGCTGAATCTCATTGAGTTTTGAATCCTTCGAGCAGATCCACTACAGCTCAGTCTTCCCATCCATAGTGAAGGTGATTAATACCATGTTATCTAAACTTGCAGCATATCAGCAAGAAGCGGTGTCCACCAAAATTGTCTTGATGGCCACTGTTATTAACCTGAAATACCAATTGAAGTTCTTCAATCTTCACTACACTCACCATGCTGAACAAGCCCAAGAATGCATTCATTGTATTTTCAATGAAGCAGTGGAGGCTTGGCCAACAACTCCTCTAGTCACACCACCCCCAATACCACTGAACATTCAAGAGAAATCTTCAATAACTTGAACATATTCACCACCCAATTTTGTCTGACAGCTCTGCAAAAATCCAGGCTGGTGAACTCAATTGGTACCATCAAGGCATTGATCCTATCTTTCCTGGTCAATCTGAACTTAATTTGTGGAGGGTGGGTTTTCTCCTTTTTCATTGATGTACATTATCTATCAGGATTCAACCTGGGTAATTTATACACAAACATGAGGGAAAGTTCCCGGTTGTGGCTTCATTTTCTTGTGATTACCTCTTGATCTTGGCCACCTCTTGTTTGTTGAACATAATTTCTTGTCTGCAGCAGATATTCCTGTACCTGGACAAGGTGCTTTGAAGGCAAAGATGCTAACAATGGCTGTTGGTCGTAGGGAGTGTCTGCAAGCTGGGATTGATACTCTTGGTCGATTTTCAGATGCAATTACTCATGTTGCATCCTATGCTTTACAATCAAAAAGAAAGACTGCTGTCTCTAACATTTTGGGTTAATATCATATTCAATGTCTCTTTTCTTTCAAACATCTTTTTTCTTCTAAATGCCTTGTTTCAAATCTCTTTTCTTTTACCTTTAAATGTCCATTTTCCTAAATCTCTTGGGTTTTGTTCTCTTTTCGTTTGACTTTCTTGTTTTTGTAACACTTTTTGGTGCTAGCTGTCTGATTCTCCTTTCTATTCACTCATTGAACATCCTTTTTCTCAATTTTTGTTATGTGAAGTGGTTTCTTTGACTCATTCACTCATTTATATGTTTTCTTTGTTGCTCTGTTGTAGCAGACTGCATATATTTTTATTCTTCTGTCACCTCTCTCCATTTATCTATCCTTGCCAAAGTCATCCTCAACCGCCAACCAGCTCTTAGCAACATCACATTGCCGTCATCCCACAATCTCAAGAGTGATAATGCCAAGCCTCCACCTACTTCACCCAGACCCATCTGATCACCTGCACCAATCACAAGGCTTACAGGTAAAAGAGCATGTGAAATTTCTACAGTTCAGAAGAATAAACCTGAATTGCCTGTCCTGTTGAAGAACTACCAGGCCCATCAATGGCTTGCACCATTTGTGTTTGAACCCAACAAAATCAAACTGGATGGACACTGGCTTTCAAGCCATAGCACTATCTATAGGTTGATCTCAAGGCAAATGGCATGATGTTCAACAGGAGCTGTAGGCTGCTTTTGGGAAGATCCCTGACCTGTTCAACAACAATTCACTATGTGACACACAGCAAAGGCTTTAACTCAACTCTACACCTGTAAACCCAATGTCAACTTCCAGAAAGAACATGGCTGAGTATGCCAAGTTGGGGTGGCCTCATAGCTACTGTCTTTGACCAGCCTGGGTCCTACAGTCAGGTCGCTGCTCCTTACGTCACAGCTGTCAGCAATAACCATGCTATAGTGATAGCTTGGGCTCATCATCACTTTGCATCCCTCACACTCAATACAAATGGACCATCTCCCTGTCACTTGTGTTTGTCCAAGTTGGTGCCAATTTTGCCATCTCAAAGCCTCAGGTTGGAAAGATTCCTGAAAGCCTATGATAAAAAAACATGCAGATTTTCAAAAAGTGAAAAATAAGCACCACAACAAAAAATCATTTTCACACTATGTCAGATTTCAAATTTACCACTGAGTTTAGAAAAGTAAGAAAACATAAGAAATTATGCAGAAGCTGTAAGAAGTCAGAAAAATATGGAAAAGTAATGTTTGAATACCACAGTGAATTCTAATAATATTTCACATTTTTTAATATTTTTCCAACCACAGCTCATATAATGTCAGAAACCCAACTTTGGTCCAAAAATGGCAGGTATTGAAACATGGTGACCTTGCAAGACCAATAAGATTGTCAACTTTACTTCAACACATGTAATGCTTTGACATCAAGAAAGCCTAATTTTGGCTCCATAATCTGCATACACAAATTAGTTATGTGTATCCAAGAAATGTATCTCTGAAATGAGTCCAGGTCTCAACCGCTCTGTCATGTGACCCCTGGATTGGTCAGCTAGATACTACTAGGGCTGTGACCCGGACCTGAGTGTGACGGGGCCACCTCAATACTTTGCCCGGCCTTGGGTTAACCCGAGTCCCTCTCAGCAACCCTGGCCATCCAGGGCACACCAGGGTGGAGGTGCAGGGCATTTCTGAAGTTCAATAAGGGTTTGATTCCATCAAAATAAGATCTATCAACTGTGCATCTTGATTATTGTGAGCAACTGGTGTTGTGAGATATGTTTGGCAGAAAAAGAGTAGGCGCCCGACCCGTCTGCAGGGCCAAGGACCGCTACTCGGTCATCCGATTAGCCGGAGAGGTTGAGGCCCTCCGCGCCTATGTGTGCAACTAGACTTGGGATTGGCATGCACTCACTCGTGCCTCGTACGGGTACCAGCCATGAAAGAGTGTCAACCTTTCAAGTTAAAAAATGCGAAGGAAGAATTGGTTTTAGGATTCGACTTCTTTAAAATTATTCAACTTGCAGAATAATTGATATTGAGATAAATTTCTTACAAAAGCTTTACAACATAGAGGATATATACAGATGTGATCAGAAGAAAGCGTATAAATCAAAAACGAGATGATAGGAAGGTAGAAAATTGAGAATAACTAATAACTCGTAGAAAGAATCTAGATTAAGAATTTATAATTTTTTTTTTGAAGAATTGAACTTTTAAGTTGATATCTTCTTTATCAATTGGAAAATATCTTGTTCGAATGAAAATCATATAATAGAAGTAACGATATGAAATGTTAAGCATTGAGGAATTTTCATTTGAATCTTTTTGGATGATCAGATGGTTTCATAGTTTTTTTAATTTGAGGTAGTTTCAGAGGAATCTTCTTGATCTTCATTAGAAGTACCATCATCATCATCATACTATTTTTGAAAAACAAAAACATGAAAGTCAAGTTTAACAGATCTTGAGAAAACTGAACGGGGATTGAATCCAAGAAAGAAACATTTAAACTTACATCAGAAGCAGTAGGACTTTTGAAATCTAACATTGGACCTTCAAATCCAACACCTTCAACATGTAATTGATCTCGATCTTCTTTTGTGGAAGAAGATGATGATTTATTAGAAACTTTAGATGATCTTTTACGGATCCCTTGATTAGGTGAGATTAAATTTTTAGAAGAAAGTTTAGGTGAACTTGAATTTGAAGTAGTGGTAGATGCAGGCTCTTTTGATGAACTTGTGGTACGTTCAAACCATTCCCTTGGAGACTAGAAAACAGAGTTTTGTGGGATAAAGATTTGAAGAAGAAAAAAATCATCAGTTTATGTGAATCGACGAATCAAAAGGGAAAAAAGAAACTCAACTTGTTTGAAATAAACATGCATTGGATAATTACCAAATGGTTTCAAGAAGATTTTAAAAAGTAAATAACTACCTATTATAAAAACATTTATTCAAAAGAAAGAAAAGACAAAACCAAAGGTCAATTTCACATTAATCAGTCAACTTGATATATTCAACACAGATACTTGAATCAGAACGATCAATGCAAACTTACCAACATCAAAAGTAAACAACAAGATCGGAGGAAGAATATAAATTAATGCCAGCACTCTACAAATCCCTGGAACATAACTGATTGGCCAAGGTAATTCGATTTGGAAGTAGTTGAATTGATTTGAAGAAGTTGAAGACATTTGATGAGATGAGATGAGATGAGATGAGTTGATCGATTGGTTGGAAAAGACGTTGGGGTTCATCGATCAAATCGAATTGCACTCATTGAGTCATCAGACCTCTCTAAACCCATACTGCTATCAAAATGATGTAACGGTAAATTTGGAATTGGAACCCCCTCTCAACTCAGATGATTTGGAGATGACCAGTGCGTATTGATGGCTCAGAAGAATTTACATTCATTCGAATGGATGCAAAACTTTTGATGAGAGAAAGGATTACAAAATTAGTGCAATAAACATTGAAATCATCCAAGTTCGCAATTGCCAGTTCTCTGTGTAATAGGCATGAGAGGTACAAGTGCAGCGGCTCTGGGTCTGACTCTACCTATGACAAGGGAGGTGGCTGAAAGGGCACACCACTTGCTTCATCAATAAACTGATCATCATGGATCCTCCTTGTGGTATATTTATCCACCACTTCACAGGATGAGCACCATATCCACGTTTGGGAAAGTGTGTGATTGATTATAGAAAGTGTAATTATCAAAACCACAAGTGGAAAGAAATCATATGATATGTACCTGTCTATCTTTTGAAAAAGGATCATAAATTGATATATGTGGTTAATGAACAAGATCTGCGTAGATCAAGCTAGATTCTTTGTATTGAAAGGAGTCGAAAAAAAAGTACAAAGAGGTTTTGATCTTCCTTTGTGTCCAGATTCAAATCACGCACTGGAAGCCGTGGTATGTAATCAAAAAAAGCCGGTTTTGAGTAACAACTTTGTTTTTGTTACCTATTTAGTTTTGATTTATTGTATTTGGAAAGCTCAAGAAAAATGTGTCAGAAAAGAAAAAATAATCTATTGATTTCAAGCTCATTGATACACTATATATGGTGATTAATGTGAAGGAGAGACAAATTATAGTTTACATTTCCTGAATGATCCAATTAAATACTATGTAGAATAAAAAGATAAGAAATGAATGACTTCAGTTTGAAATCAATCTTGATCAAGGTATATGAAGATGTTGTATTAGAAGTAAAGTATATTGTAAGAGCTCGAATATTATCTTCCGTTTTTTTGGTATCCAAAGGTGTCTTTTAAAAAGCTCTACGGATTACCATCACTTGATGAATCACCATCACCTGTGGCTGTTGTTGGCGAGAAGCAGATTTAGAGTTTGGAATTTGAAGGTGCTGTTTGAGCTCTACGACTTCATCATTATCAGCAGTGAATTTATTCATGGAAATGCTATCAACGGTGGGTGAGCTGATATTCCCATCAATATGATCAGACTTTTGTGCATCCATTTGAGTTTGAGGGATGATGATATCAAGGTCGGTAAAGATTCGCCACTGTCAAAGAATTACTAGTGATCAGTTTCATACATTCTTCAATATCATCGGACCAACAGTAGATCTTCTTGACTTTTATAACACGCGGATTGAAGCAAGTACCAGGTAGAGAATGATAGCTCCACTTGAAGATGGAAAGAATCATGAACTTACACTTTGAAGCAGCAGTGCACCTACCACAATTACACCACTCACAAGGTACAGCCAAGATCCAAGGGCGCGCCAGTGGGAGCTAAATTAAGTTCAAAAAATTGATCATCAGGGATAAAGACGAGTTTCTTCGAATTTTCTCTTCATTAATTTCACGTACGTAGCAATGACTAAATCTGCCTTACTACCAATCAATATACAAATCACTGTTTTATATGACATCGAGGCTATCATCACCACGCCATGTGATAACAAATAAACTAAGAACCAATACTGAGATCAATGATGTTTGTTCATAATCTTATATTTGATGAATTTACTCAACTGTAGCCTTTACGGAGTGCCAGTGAAATCTCGCTAGCTTCTGTCCATACATAATTTGAATAACCTAAATCTTTAACATGAGTTCGATTCATATGTAGTTTCTTGACAATAGATGTACTATATCGAAGGAGTTGGACCAGAGCCCATCCGGAAACCGAACAGAACTAAAAATAAACATAGTGAGATAAGTAGAAGAAACTATGAGATGCATTGGTAGATCAAGGCGCGTACTCACAAAGAGAGTAAACAGGCTGACGAGAGCCCACCAAAATGAATTCCATCTGACTTTCTCGATAAGCCTGAGATTCGCATCCACAAGCTCTACTGCACTTTTAAAGATACCTGGGTAATCAATGTTGGCTACGTCTCCAGAATCCCATTGATTACTAGCTATCGTCATCTTATCAAACAGCTCAACATAAGTCCATGCTTCTTGATAGTAAGCAACCGTGATAATCACTGTCCAGACTAAAGTTCCAATGGTGATGATTGCTGGTACTAGGACACAGAATATATTCACTAGTTTAGGTTTTTTGACGAATGGTCTAAGCAACCATGGAACTCTTGAAAGTGGCGAGCATAGACTTTTGTCCCAATTTTTTCACAGATTGAAATCGAGAAAAAAATCGCCAAAATTTGAATCAAAATGTTACAATGGACGTTATATTTACATAGTGTTGCGCACAAAATCAAAAGCAAGTCAGTTTCATGATTTTCTTGGAGGTTGGAAGTAAAAATGTTAGAGAAATGAAGGCTTGAAAGAAGATTTCTTACATAGTACACAAGCCTGACCATCCTGATAAAATTCAATAGTCATATAAAACCAGCTCAGTGATCTAACTTGAAGGCCAAATGAAAGAATGAGTGGTAGTACCTGTGATCCAATATCCATAGAAAGAAAAAAGCCACATCAACTCAACCCTAAGATCAGATTAAATCAGATTAGAGCATTAACTTGAATACCAATTGTCAACATATCAAAACATAAAAAAAAGTCAATTGATCCAAAAGACTTACCAGGCATATAATGGTATACGTCGAGATGTTTTTGGTGCTTGTAATGAAATGTAATCGAGACAACAATAAATTAAGCTAATCATACTACTGATCAGTTGAGTAATCGCAACTGCACAGTGATTGTTTTATGTATGCAATCATTGAAAAAAGTAAGACGCGTCAATTAGGTATACCTTGATAGAGAACGATAGAAGATAATTAAGCATCTGACCTGCGAGGACACTATTAGGAATTCGAAAAGGAGTTAGAGCTGAGGAGTTCAATTCAAGTTAGATTTGTGACTGTTTCACATTTCCGATATTTCTCGAAAATCAGCTTACCTCGATCAACATGGACTAACTTGAAGTACCACAAATATTTTTTCCTTTTTACATGACTACATGAAATAGGTACGATGATCACCATACAACAAACCCAAATGATAAATGCATGAATGATGGCAAAGGAAATCAGGATATTATCTGTCGAAGCAGAAACTTGAGGGTACCGTCGTTCCTATTTATCAGGTTTTGGTATCAGTTCTATGGCTTTCACTGAAAATAATTGTTTATGAATGATTGGTTGAACGTTTGAAAACTGAGGATCACCTGAATATTATCGATCCCCAAACGAAAAGGGTTTTGACCCGGAGTAAGATTAGAAATGAACTCTTGAACTTTTGCCATAGCAGCCATCTTCTATTTCTTTCAAAGAATTAAGTGATGAATGGAATGAAAAAAGTATTTTTTTGGTTTACTTAAAGGATATGATTTGAAAGTCGATGGATAACAGAAAAACAAGAAGCTAGCGTATGATAACCGGAATGGAGACAAATGACAGGTGAGGGACGGCCAAGCCTTGAGCAAGCTTTAAACGTGGTTGTAAATCTACAATATGATTTCATCAAGAATATACGAGAAATTTTGTCAAAGTTAGAATAAGCCACATCGTTGAGCCATTTATAAACTTTTGAGGAGTGGCTTCGTCCAAACTTAGCCTTGATCTCTAGATATCATCTACACATGGCTTTTGAAGACTTACAATCTGATCTCTTGTTTCCTTTTTTCTTCAGATAACTTCATCTTCTCCTCGCAGGATTGTGTATGTGTCCATCGTGTCGAATGGCCACTTGGCACTTCCTGGGTTGAGTGAAACAACAAAACTTGGTGAAATACGAATAGGCTCACTCAGACAAAAGAATCAGTTTGGCAAGCTGTTTTCGAATTGCTCAGGTGAGCTACATGTTATATTACGCTTTGTTATGACTGCCCGATGCGACGTCAAGCAGAGCATCCATGAGCGCAACCAACCAAAATTGCAAAGGCAGGATGCGGGCAGTCCCCGGCAGAGATGACATACAGGTCAGCTTGCGGACTACCAGCTGTGCCAGTGGGACCCGGTGCCAGTAGCCGTTGCTTAGCGTTAATTAGCGTTAGTTCCAACTTGCCAAGGATAATGGGATCTGAATTGCATAGTTGATTCCGATTTGTATATGGAAAGGCGCCACATTCTTGCATCATGACATCAGGTCAACTGTGGCGTCTCATATTGACGAAAGATTAATTCAAATCACGCAAGATCACGTCAGATCACGATTCACGTCCATCCAAATAGAACTGGATCATCTAGGTAATCTGTTGGACCCCTCGTCTCAAATCCTCTGATGTATCCCACATGAGCAGAAATACATAGGGCGCGACAAAGTTTACAAGGGCAGAAGCAAGATCAAAAGCCAGAAATCTTCACTGTACCAATACACAGCACGTAGAATGAAGTCCTGTGAAGAATGACTGAACGAATTGTGACTCAATCAATTGTGACCTACATGTAGGAAGAGTTTGATTGACTGCATAAGTCACATAATATCTGAATACAAAGAAAAAACCTTATCTCTATTTTCTCAGATGATCAAATGATGCAGAAAGAGAACATGCAGATGAATTCGAAGTGTTAACCTAAATAACGATCGCAGAAAGATGATAAATATATTATGAATATATATATATATATATATATTTCTTCAAATAGCAGAATAACCAGCTCGACTAGCTGATCCATTTCCTCTTCTTGAACGAAACAACTCAGAAATCATCCTAGGTAATTCTCGCCAGAAGTCTTGGTGTGGGATAAGGTCCCATCCGTTTCCTCCATACTTGTTATAATTCAACCTAGGTTTATTCCGTCAAGTCGAATATCAGAAACGGGAAAGCCTTGAATCCTAGGGAAGATGGGATCAAAAATATCTTTGTACTGACCATATTCCGATGAGGAAGTAAGCAATGAAGATGAAGATGATACTAATGATGTAGGAAAGGTATCTGTAGTTAGTAAAAAGCCAGAATTGATCCATCGCAGTTCATGATAGTTTGATCGCTCACAAGGTTACAAAACTTCCGAACCATCCTGAGCTACCTGTAGGTGTCCCTACTGGGCTTCCTGATGCGGATGCGCAAGCCAGAGGTGTCGGCCAATCAATGGTCAAAAACCCCTTCGAGGTGTCATACTGCGTCTTGGGCTGACGAGGTGCTGCAGCCGAAGTAGCACAAGCAAAGTTGAAGACTGTAGATTGTTGAACTCCATTATAAGTTCCACCAGCAATTGTGAGTCGGATCGGGTCTAATGTGAGTATATCATAAAGACGTACGGCTTTAGCTGTGTAAATCACCCTGGGTCACGCCGAAGTACCCACCTCTGTTACTAAGTCCTCCTCCTTGGACTACTGGTCGAGATGGTCCTGCGATTGGAATTCGACTGATCAAACGTCTATCCGTCCCGCCTTTCTCTCCAGATTCGTTGAATATCGATAAACAGACTGTTGTGCCGGCTGGACAGCCCTCCTCAACAGGCTTAAGCTCTGTACAAAGTGAGATCAACAGGGTTTCGATCGTAAGTGTTGGCGGGGTTGAACGGTCAGTGGTGATGTTGAGTGGCCATGATGATTGTGGGATCAACTGAAATGACATATGGTGAACGCCGCATTACAGTTGTCATTATCGATTGAGCGAGATTATGTAAGTTGTGATTGAGAAAGACGACTTACAGATGTGAAATCATAACGAGCACCATCTTCGCTGGTGAACTTACAATCGCTCCACTCGAGTGGACTTTGCCTAGTGAAAGGTGAACCAGATTGTGAGATTTGAACCATAGAAAGAATTGAGATAAGCTTGAAGGCCAGTGAGAGGGGTTTGAAGGTCATGATGTCCATCACATTCATCGATCACACACTTCGATCGAACTGAAAACCGTTTCTTAGAATCGAGTTATTGCCTAATCGATTTGAGTCATGGCTGGGTTGGAGTTTGGTTAAATGGCAAGATGTATGCGAGGGAGAAATTGACAGTTGATAATAACACACCGAACAGCACCGAAACCTTGACCTACAAATACATACAGTCGCTTGTATATCCTTTCATGATTTGCTTGATTTGAATCAAAAGCTTTCTAAATTGTGAGTGTACAAAGCGCATTGCCTCAAGAAACAGGTCCAACAAGATGTAAGCTAAGATAATAATATGTTAGACTTTTTGCAGAGCTCAGGCCTAGAGTTGAGGGGATCTTTAGATTCCACATTTGGGTGATACTCGTGTATTGCACACAAATTCCGCTGGTGAGTATCTCATGATGATAGGAGATCATCACATTTATTGTAACCCATATAAACAGTAGAAAGGAGCTCATTTGAAAACTTTAGCTCAGTACTCACAGTTTAGAAAGCAAATCAACAGGACATCTATCATCTGGGTGAAGTACATCAACAAACGGGATTGATGAATTTAGAATTCTTCTTTCTCCTCTTTGAAAGTGAAATTGGGTCAAAAAAATCTATTTCTTTCCTTAGTTGTGTCTCACACATTAGGTTCATTCCAGTCTGATCAGATGCCTTACACCTTTCCATGCAGCACACGCCCAATCTGCCAGAGTGGTCGCAGTAAATCCATATGGCGTGCAGTATGAAAAGCTGTGTCATGATTTACTACTACCGTAATGACCATGTATTGAATGCCATATACATTCTTGTAGATGTGCAGCCTTAATTATTGCGGCAATATATTAATCACAAATGTTTCACAACCAGATACAAGTTTATAAAGAGTGTTAGTTTATAGTGAGGGTGTAGAAAAATATATTAAACGATAACTTGAAATCAAGAATGAAACCTAAGTACTCTGAAGTCAATTACTACGTACATTGTGAAAATGTTAGAACAAGGTAATGTGAAACTGATCATAGAGAAAATGATATTGAAAGAAAAATAAAGAGGGTTTTTGTAATTAAATTTTGTTGAGCTCAAGAAGCGTAATAGTATGACACTTGGAATAGAATAATTTTGAAACAAGAAATATGCAAATATAACAAAAACTAGAAATATAAAATCAGCCTCTTCTGTGAGATGTGACGTATAACATCTACTCGTGACTATAACATCTACTCGTGACTATAACATCTCGTAGACTATCTCAGATTGCCTACTCCAAGAAATCTATACATCCAGGTCAAGATACGGAAGAGGGGACAAAAATGCTGGGGATTAATGAATGTGTATTCTGCAAGTCTAAAAAAAATTTCACCGGTGAAAATGGGATAGGAATCATCGGAGGTTTGATGAAAGCAAAAGGGGGAGGGAATATTAAAATGTTGTGAGCTTTTCTTTCCGACAATTTCTGAATCAAAAAGCTGTCCGGATGGTTATTGCTTGAGCGCGTGGCGGACGGACTGCTACTCTGGCTTGTTGAATTTGAACCACTTGAACTGATCCCATTGGATCTTTCATCGTGCAGTCCTGAAGGGTCAAGTCATCTAAAGAACCTATACTATCTGGTCGATGTACTGAGGACGAAGTTTGACTGGCTGCCATTGTGTCGCTTTCTCCCGGGGCTGAACTAGTTTCGGTGATGATGACATCCAAATCCGTGAAGATCCTCCACTGAAGGTTTTTGAAATTCCAATTCATTAGAGCTGATATTTCAAGAACGCAAACGCATTCGTGCTCATAGAAGGAACTGCTGGGCTTACACTTTGCAGTAGCATTGCACCTGCGACTATCACCCCACACACAAGATATAACCAAGAGCCCAATGACCTCCATCTTGACCTTAGATCGCAACGAGAAGAAGTCAGCTGTGTTCGAATAAAAGTTTCTTGAGCTATGCTCACTCAAGAACCACTTTGTCTGCCTTGACTCCTAGTAGCACACAGATGACAATGCTATAAACCATTGATAGTAACATTGCCGAAAAATGACACGCAACATAAACTATAGGTGGCAAGAGAACATTCGTCTTCAAGTCAGTTTTGACCAAGTTCTAATCTTGCAATTGCCTCAAATCCGAGCCTAGAGGAAAAAGACGATGTATCTCACCATAACCTCTTCTGAGTTCCTTAGTGATCTTTTCCGTATAGAACAATCCCTCAGAGTCGGGCATTTTGAGCCCTTCAGCTGCTTGCATCATTTGTCGAACAGAGGAACTACTATTTCTCAGGAGTCCAATCATAGACCAACCAGACAAGATAAATGGCTATGTTTCATGCGTTGGATGGTGTTAGTTTGTAAAACAAGGCTGAGGAGGAGAGGGCAGCGCGAGCAACTGAAGGAGAAGGATTCATTGTAAGTTAAGAAACTTACGAAAAGCGTAAGAAAACCGAGCATTGCCCAGAAATATGAGTTCCACCTAACTATCCGAATAAGTTGACTATCAGAAGTCATGAATTGTATAGCCACCTTAAAAAGAGTTTTAACATCGAGACTTTCTTGATTGTCCAGTTGGATCGCAGCGACATTGAGTAAAGCGTCAAGGTGGTTATATCCTTCTGACTCCCGGTGATAAGCAAACACAAGGAGTACAACCCACGCCAAAGTACATACAGAGACGAATATCGGTACTAGTGTGTGGAATGCATTCACTGCATTTGGTCGGTTTACCAGTTTTCGAAGCGGTCGAGGAATTTGGGTTACTGGCGAACACAAGCTGCAAGCACATCGTTCGACGAGAGATGATACCAATTGTGCCAGATATATAAGAAGAATCAAAACATCGATTTTATCAACCACCTTGGTCATGGTGAGCGAGGAGATGCGGATGATGAAGGATCAACAAAAGAATTACATAGTGCATAACCCAGACCATCCTGAAGCAAGAAAAGAAAATCAAAAGGGCAAATCGATGTCAGATCTTTGAGAATTCTGCTTCCTGATGTGATCATTTTGGTCGATTGTAAAATGGGGAAAGAGTTTAAGAAGAATTCTAAGTACCTGTTATCCAATATCCATAGAATCCGAAAAGCCACATCAATTGCACCCTACATGAACCCGAGTCAATCATCATTTCCATAAGGCGATGAAACATTACTTACCAAGCGTATAGATAAACTCGATTTGCCACCTTGGGTGACGTAAATGACAGGTAATAGAGACCAGAGTACACCAAGCATAACATGCTGCTAATCAGTTGGGTAAATGCAACTGTTCTCCCGGGATTTGAATTTTCACGATCATTAGTGGGTAGGTATGACACACGCTGAGTTCAATCTTTCATTACGATTAGACCGGGAAAAAAGGCCAACGAACCTGCAAGGGCACTATTTGGAATATAGAGTGGTGTTTGACCTATAAAAATTCAACATGATCAATCCTCCGAGTCCGCTCATGTGACAAATAAAGAGAAAAATGTGTGGCCATTACCTTTCCCGGCGTAAACTTTCTTGAAAATCCACATGTATTTTCCTCGCTTGACCTTACTGAACGCAATTGGTACCACGATAACCATACCACATACCCCCATGATGCAGGTATGGACCACAGCAAAAGCTATGAGGATTTGATAAGTCGAAGGGTGTATAGAAGGGTATCTTGTAGCCTAGAGCTCCAGATATCAACAGATTAGTCTGGCTCTCACGTTTGATAAGCAAAATATGGTACCGTTAGGAAGCTGACATGAAGTAGTTCTCGTGAAGCCCGGAACAGATTAGAACCGCGAGGGACATTTTGCACCAACTGGCGCGCCAACGAAGTTGATGTATCGTGCTCCGAAGGGTGGAACATGCTGGTTCAATATGATTAAAAAAGGTATATAAGATGAAAGTATATGGCGATGAAAGGAAAGAGCGTGAAGCTGGGATGAACAGAAGATGTAAGCTTGAACATTATGAATAAGAGCAAATTTTGAGTAGAGGACATACGCGCTTAGCCTTGGTGGGTGCTCGCGCGTGATTTCTAGTTTCTCGCACTTTCGATAGTAGTCTGAGTATACATAATTCCTTTCATGCATCTTTTCTCGTCAGGCCGGCCGAACAGGTTTTCATAAACGTATTGACTTGACGCTTGAGGTAAAACTCGGCTAAGCTCGTGCAGTGCAGAGCAATTGGTGGCCCATTCTAAAAAGCGTCTCGTCTTGATTTAGATTAGCAAGGGGAGCAATGAGCTTATCCGGAGGAAGCTTCCGAAATTGCATTCTAATGCGTGATCTGGATCTATTTGACCAGACCTGGACTGTGGCAACGGCACAACGATTGCTAGTGTGACCCTATCAAGTTGCTTTGCGAGAGGTTGAAAAGGAAAGAAAACGTGTAAATGAACTCGCAGCACCCAGATAGAAAAAGAATGTATATTTATTTCGAATGCAAATACAAAAAATGGCAAGTCTTTCTGGGTACTTCAACTTAGAACCAGGGAATTAATAACAAGTTGAACTCTCTCTACAAGGAGGTACACCAATCACCACGCTACAAGCAAAATCACTATAAGCCCCAAGACCGCAATTTATCAAAAGTTCAAAAACAAGTGATAGATTTTTGTCTTGAACATGAGAAAACAAAATCAGAGAATGACTGTAATGCCAACCAGCTCAAACAAGAAAAGATTTTTAACATGAAAGAAAGATGATGTTGAAGTTCTTCCACTGTTACATAGTTTGTACTAGATTTCTTTTGATCATCCTGCTTTACCTCGAGTAAACCAATCGAGACAATAGTCCTACCTGACAAGCCCCTCTAGAATTCAACTCCAATGACTCAAAAAAGCTAGTTAAGTACTGGAGACAGGAGATCCTGGAAAGGATTCAAAATATCTCCTATTTCATTAATCAGGTTTACCAGAGAAATGTCCTTCTTTCCAAGCTGAACCTTTCTCTTAGCTCCATCGATCATCTCAGCAATGGAAAATGTGTCCATGAATATGATAATACCATTTGCGCATATAGATCATTCTGCTTCATGAAATCATCTTTCAGATGATCCGGTATCAAGTTTATTGAACACAGAGAATTGATTTCTTTACACTTCTCTTTTCTCCTCCTTACAACTCACATTGTATCAAGATACTTACTTTTCTCAGGTTTATCTCATAGTGCTATATATTATGATTTTCTTGATTGAACCCAGTCTGATCAACTGCATTACACATTTTCACAGCTTCTGCTTCAGAAGAATCACAGATAATCCATATAGTTTGAAAATAAGAATCTGTGCGGGTTTATTTCGCAGTAATGTCCTTGAATTGAAGGGCATACACATTCTATACATGGGAAGAAATGACAGTGGGAGTCTCAAGACAGAAATGCAGGGGAGGTAAGGACTGAATGCGTATTCTGCCAATCAAGAAAACAATGAGGTAGAAAATATCGAAGGCTTGATAAAAGCAAAAGGCATGGTGAATATTGAAATGATAGTTCCTTTCCGATACTGTTCAAACTAAAAAGCCGTCCGAACGATTATCGCTTGAGCTTTTTGTGGACGGACAGCTACTCTGGCTTGTTGAATTTGAACGACTTGAACTGTTTCCTCTTTCACCCAGGAATCTATGATGGTCAAGTCATCTAAAGAACCTACACTGTCTGGTCGATCTACTGAGGTTAAAGTTCGACTGGTTGCCGTTATGTCACTTTCCTCCACGCCCGAACCGGTTTCAGTGATGATGATATCCAAATCGGCGAAGATTCTCCACTGATGGTTTTGCAAATTCCACTTTGTTAGAGCTGAGATTGCGAGAAGGCGAATTTGTGCCGAATTCCAAAAAAAACTACCGAGCTTACACTTTGTAATAACATGGCACCTGCGACTATCACCCCACACAAGAGATATAACCAAGAGCCCAATGACCTCCATCTTGACCTTAGATCGAAACGAGAAGAAGTCAGATGTGTTCGAATAAAAGTTTCTTGAGCTATGCTCACTCAAGAACCACTTTGTCTGCTTTGACTCCTAGTAGCACACAGATGACAATGCTATAAACCATTGATAGTAACATTGCCGAAAAATGACATGTAACATAGACTATAGGTGGAAAGAGAACGTTTATCTTCAAGTCAGTTTCAATCAAGTTCCAATGTTACAATCGCCTCGATCCGGAGCATGGAAGAAAAAGACGTTGGATCTGACCGTAACCTCTTCTGAGTTCCTTAGCAATCTTCTCCGCGTAGAATAGTCCCTCAGAGTCGGCCGTTTTGAGCCCTCCGGCTGGTTGCATCATTTGTCGGACAGAGGAAGTACTATTTCTCAGGAGTCCAATCAGAGACCAACCAGACATAATAAATGGCTATGATCCATGCGATGGACGGTATTAGTATGTAAAACGAGGCTGAGGAGGGTCAAGCTGCGAGAGCAACTGAAGCACGATGATTCACTGCAAGTTAAGAAACTTACGAAAAGTGTAAGAAATCCGAGCATTGCCCAGAAATAGGAGTTCCACCTAACTATCCGAGTAAGTTGACCATCGGAAATTATGAACTGCAAAGCCATCTCGTACATAGCTGCAGGATCGACACGTCTTCGATTTTCCAATTGGATCGCAGCGACATTGAGTGAAGCGTCAAGGTGGTTATACCGTTCTGACTCCCGGTGATAAGCAAACACAAGGAGTACAATCCACGCGAAAGTACAGACAGAGACGAATATCGGTACAAGTGTGTGGAATGCATTCACTGCATTTGGTCGGTTTACCAGTTTTCGAAGAGGCCGAGGAATTTGGGTTACTGGCGAACACAAGCTGCAAGCACATCGTTCGACGAGAGATGATACCAATCGTACCAGGTATATAAGAAGAGTCAAAACATCAATTTCATCAGCTACTTTGGTCTTGGTGAGCGAAAAGATGCAAATGATGAAAGATCAACTAAAAAAATTACATGGTGCATAACCCAGACCATCCTGAAGCAAGATTGAAGAAAATCAAAAGATTAAGACGATGTCAGATCTTTGGAGATATCCCTTCATGATGTAATGTTTTCCGGAAATGATGAATTGTAGAACGAGTTCGAAAAAAAAATAAAGCACCTGTTATCCAATATCCATAGAATCCGAAAAGCCACATCAATTGCACCCTACATGAACCCGACTCAGCCATCATATCCAGATAAGACCGTCTGAAGAAACTTGAGATAACAAAATGCTTACCAAGCGTATAGATAGACCCGACTTGCCACCTTGGGTGACGCAAATGACACGTAATAGAGACAGGAATACACCAAGCATAGCAAGCTACTAATTAGTTGAGTGAATGCAACTGATTCCCCGTGATGTAAATTTTACAATCATTAGCGGAGATGACACAAGATGGCTTCATTCTTTCATTACCAGTAAACCGTGAAGAAAGGTCGACAAACCTGCAAGGACACTGTTTGGAACATGAAATGGTGTTTGACCTAGAAAAAATCTTCATGATCAATCATCCGTTTATGTGACAAATAAAGAGAACAATCATTTGGTATGTACCTTTACCAGCATAAGCCTTCCTAAAGATCCACAAGTACTTTCCTCGTTTGACCCGACTGAACGCGATTGGTACCACGATAACTACACCACAAACCCACATGATGCAAGAATGGACCACAGCAAAAGCTATGAGAATGTGATAAGTCGAAGGAGCTACAGGAGGGTATCTAGTTGTCTAGCTCCAAATATCAAGATATCAGTCGTTTGATAAGCAAGATAAAAAACCGTTGAGAAGCTCACTTGAAGTAGTTCTCGCGAGGCCCGAAAAATATTAGAACTACGAGGAACATTTTCCATCAATTGGTTCAGCATCGAAACCGGTGTATCATGCTCGGAGATGATATACATGTTGATTCGATGCGATTAAGATACGGGAGAGATGAAAATATGTAGTGATAAAAGATAGGGCGAGATAAATGAAAGATATAAGCTGGAACATTCTGAATATAAGCAAATCGGCCCCTAAGCAAATTATGAGTAGAGGAGATACGCGCTTGGTAAGTGCTCTCGCGTGATTTCTAGCTTTCTTGCAATTCCAGTTGGTTTTGAGTATGAATCCTTCCATGCATCTTTTCTCAACAGGCAGCCTGCACAGGTTCCGATTGACCAACTTGTATGTAAATGTTCTAGCTTAAACCGAATGATGAAAAGTTTGGACCTCGAAATTGCTAAAGAAGAAAGAAACTAGCTTTAACTGTGAAAAGGTCAGTGTTCTTTTAAGATACGCAAAGGTATGAGCGTCACTCTTGAGTCCTCTTGCTAATCCCCTTTGGGTCCAATTTCAATGCCATCCATGCATTTATTCTCAGCAGGCCGGAAACTGCTGAGCAAGTCCATGTCGCGCTTCCATTTGATAAGGTCGTAGTCCCACCTTGAACTGAGACTCGGGAGTCGGAGGGCCCTGGCGTAGCATGATGGGTTGATTGTTGAGACTACAAGTCATCCAAAAAATATGAACTGGGGTAAAGATATGCACCATTAATTAGAATGGTAAGCGTTTCAGGGTAAACCCTCAAGGCGTAAAACCAAGGAGTTGGTAATAAACATATGGTCTCTCCACAAGGAGGCCACAACGGACCAATACCCATGCACTACAAACAAAATGTCACATATCATTAGTATAGCATTGAAGACACTTTAATCAGGAATGAAAAAAAGTACTAAGAGTCAAGACCACAATATATCAAAATCTTAACAGATAAAAAGAAAAAAAAACTTAGAATGAGCGCAATACCAAGGAGATCAAACACCAAAAAATTTTCAACAAGAAAGAAAGATTCAATGACTTTACTACAAAGTTAAACGAAGAAAGAAAATTCCAAGTTGACATAAAAAAGTCTTCTAGAACTCACATTCAGTGACTACTATTGTAGTTACTAAAAAGAGGACATTGATTGGAACCAAGAGATCGTGACAAAAGATCCAAAAGATCCGTCAAACTTTCAAGCAAGTTTCAAGCTCGGCTCGGGCCAAGCGGGTTCTATCGTATCCCGAACCGGCCTTGTTGTCCTTCAATACCCTGACCCGAAGTCGTGATAATCATTGTGGTTGAATTATACCAGCCCGACGAACGTTCGAACACCTCACCACAACATACCGATCAACCCACCAATCCCACCAACCTCAGCACGATCAAACCGAGTAAACCGAACCCACAAAACCCACCTAACAAAAGAGAATGTCAGACCGAGTAAGTGTTTAAAAAAATCCTTTCGAACACCAATTTCGATCACTCACATTGGATTTTTGTTTTCTGTTTCGAAATAGGGTAGAGGTAGAGGAGGAGGAGGAGTTAGTTCAAGAGGAGGAGGAAGAAATGAGGATAAACCGAAAAGAGAAGCGATTTTAGATTTATCCAAGTATGTCAACCAAAGAGTGATTGTAAAATTTATGGGAGGTAGACAAAGTTGAGTATTTAATTAAATCCCAATCTTCTTACTTTTTTTAAAAAAAAAACCATCTTAAACTCATACAAAAAAAAAGAAAAAGTATTGATTGATGTTGAATTTGATTTTTGGGATTGAAAAATTAGTTACTGGGATCTTAAAAGGTTATGATGGTTTATTAAACTTAGTAATGGATGAAGTAGAAGAAAGTTTAAAACCAGAAGGTAATCATCACCAAACTTCCAAAAAAACCCCCCAAAAAACCCTTTCTGATTTCATTAAAATTAATATCTTTCTTTAACTTATCTTTCTTTAACTTTTGATGAATTTTTATAGATTCAGATAGTCATATACCTAATCCAGAAACCACAAAAACAAGATCACTTGGATTAGCAGTAATAAGAGGAACGAGTTTAGTGGTTATCAGTCCAGTAGAAGGGTACATCTTTAACTTTCTCTCTTTCTTTTTTTTGAACTCATACTGATAATTCCATTTGATTTTTGATTTTTCTTTTCATATAGATTTGAAGAAATCGCAAATCCATTTATAAATCAACAATAACCTGTTTTCTTCTTCTTTACTATAAATCTTGATCCCCCCAAAAAATCAAAATCATAAATAAGTCGTCCAAACAATTTTTTTTTCAAAAAAGACAAAATGGAAATTCATCTTTCTTGTAAAAACCTTTTATTTATTTATTTGTACTTTAATTTTTCTTTTTTTATAAAAATGATTAAAGTTGTAAATAAAACCAAATCAACAAAGAAAATCATCATCATGAGATTTTTTCTTTGGCATGTTTTTCTTTTTGGCTTCAAAGATCTTGATTTTTTAACACCAAGAAATGAAAAAATCAAGAAACCCTTTCAATAAGTTGATTTCTGACTCCCATAATGACACGATAACGATACCCAAAAGCCCAAACTTCTCAATATATCAATTCATCACAAGAAAAAAAAACATCAATGATTATTATTATTTATTTATTTATTCATCATATATATAAATCATCCAATCATCCACACCAAAAAAAAAGAAAAAAAGAAAAAAAGAAAACATAAAAAATCTACTTCATCAAAAAAGAAAAGGAAAAACAAAAAAAAAACACAAAAAAAACTTTTTCTCTTCTTTCCTTCTCTAAGAAATTCAACAAAATCAAAAGAAAAAAAAAACTGATAAACTATACAGACATTAGTGAGAAAAGGAAAAGAAAAAGTATAAGAGAGAGAGAGAGACAGAGAGAGAGATAGAGACAGAGAGCAATAGAAAAAAAAGGTAAAAAGACTTTGTAGAGAAAATTGAAAAAGAGAAAAAAACACAATCTAAAGAACAACAAAGGTGGTAAGTAGAAGTGAAGAAGTTGATAATCTTAATCTAAAGAGTTTTTACAATATATATATATATATTATAAGTTGACTTTGATTGGTTAGATATATATATATGTATTGATAAAGTTCAAGTTAAATCTTTAAAGACAAACAAAACAAAAAAAAGGTAACAAGAGAGAAACCATAAAGAAAAAAATAACTTGAACTCTTCACTTTCCATCGATTTTTTTATCTTCTTCATCAACTCTCTCTCTCTCTTTCTCTTTCTCAATCCCACTAAACACATTACTTCTTTACACATCCTTTGACATTCACCTTCATCACTTATTTACCACACTTATATCAAAACATCACTTACACCAACACAAAAACATGTCCATCAACTTCTTTAAAAAGAAAGCACAAAAAAAAATCCAAAAGGTTATATATAATAAAAATAGTATATAGTCATAATATCCTAGTGATAGTAGAAACCGAAATCATCAAAAAATATATATAAAGAGAAATTCGATCCTTTGATATATCAACTTCAAAACCAAAAGATCATCATCAAAAGAAATCAATTACTAAGATTTGAGTTTTCTCTTCTACGATAACTAGTAAGACCCGAATGATTATTCACTTTTTTAGATTCAGAACTACTAGTACTACTACTATCTCTAACACCTAAAAACTTTGAACTAATGATTCCTACACTATTCGGTTTAGTAATACTACTTCGTTTTTGAGTGGATGTAGGTCTAGCTGCGATCGAAGGAGGTTGTCCACTATTGTTGCCTCCTGCTCCATGTTTTTTGATTTGTTGAAACATCGTCGGAAGTTTTCGTCCTGATGTAGTCGAGGTGACTGTCTTACGTGGTGAGATTTGATGAGTGGTGGTTGAAGTATTAGAAGTTGAGGTGATCGTAGATGGTCGGTTTAGTAAGTTTGAAACTATTGTTGAAGCCGATGATTTCTTCTTTAAGAATGGCGATGGTAATGATTCTGGATCTAAATGATTGTACTGAGGTGATCGTGTGATAGTAGACGAAGGCGCGTCAAATGAATTATGATTAGTAGTGGTGTTTGTAGGACGTGATGAATGATCATCGACTTGCTGTACACTGTAGCCGTCGTCTTCCATGCCATTGATAGCACGTTGAATATAACCTTGTTGAGATTGTTCTTGAGAATGAAAAGTCAAAAGTCCATTTGCAGATTCACTTCTTCTAGATAATCTACGACTGTTGAAATCTCCTTTCTTATTTTGCTGTTGATTACCATTGGATGGCCCGTCATCGGAAGTTGTGGTGACTGAATCTGATTCCTCACTAGATTTAAGTCTTGAGAGGAAACTTGAAGTGGTTTTAAGACTTGCGAGTGATTTACTTGACTTGACCTGTCTAACAAATCGACTTCCTACAGTTCCGCCCTGAGTAGGGAGTGGTGGTTGATTGACGGGTTCGACTGCGGTGGCAAGGTGTTTGAATGGCGTGTCAAGTTTCATGGGTGAACCATAAGTTCCACCAATAGAGACCATCGTAGCGTCTTGGTGTTGAACAGTCGACAGCCGTTTGGGTTGCGCGTAATTGATCGTAGGAGTGGATGATGATGTGGATGATGCTGTAGAGGACATAGGTGGATTAAAAGAATATCGTCTTTCTGTCAAAGGTGCTCGTCGAGCAGTACCAGATTTCCCGGTATCATCCTGACTCTGTGGCTGTGCTTGTGGCGATTCTTGAGATGGGGCTAGATTCTCATTTTGTTGGTGTTGCGAATTTTGTTGTTGAGATTCGATTTGATTAGCACGTTCGATCACTTCAAGTGCGTGTTGAAACTTGACTTGAAATTCTTCTTGTAGCAAAAGATGATTCTCTTGTTGAACTTTGAAGTAATCTTTTTCTTTTTGTAATCGAGTTTCTCGAGCCTTTAACTTCACTTCTCGTTCTAACAACGCTTTCTCTTGTTCTTCAATTACCGTTTGTTTTTTGGTAAGCTCTCGAGCACTGGAGACAAAAGTTCGGAATTAGTCGCGTCATTTGATGAAGAAGACGAGTAATCATTGACTCACTAGCGATGAACTTCTAAAACTCGAATTTGATGTTTAACTTGCTCTACTGACAGAATCGACTTTGCGTCGGGTCTTAATTTAGGCTGAAGGATGTATAAAAGTGTTTGATCAGTACGTGAGAGCGGAAAGGAAACATATCTCAACACGCACATCTTGTCGTAACATAGACTTGATCAGAGCTGTTAACTGAGATGAATAACCACGTGGCAAGTTAGGAATCTTGCCCTCTCGAATCAACTTGGCGAGTTCAGGTTGAGTTTGAGCTTGATGGAAGGGTGGACTATTTTGGAAATCAAACAAATGTAATGCTTAGAAGGGCGATTGAGGAATCGAAAACTTCAGAGTTCACTCACTGCCAAGCACATAATTCGTACATCAGACAGCCGAGTGCCCAGATGTCTGACTTGACATCATACTTCTGACCGTTGATCAGTTCCGGTGACATGTAATAAGGTGTCTGAAAAGAAAAAAAGACATTATACATTAGGTTTAGGATGATTCAAGGTGATAAACGTGTGGATCGACGAACCCCAACGTAAGTATTTGTGAATGCAGCCATTTCCATTGCCTTACTCAAACCGAAATCACCAAGTTTGACTAATCCAAAGTGATTGAGAAAAACGTTTTCAGGTTTGATATCTCGATGTAGAATGATAGGTTTCTTCTTTCCACCCTCTTCAGAACTCATTTCCGCTGAATGACAATCTAAAAGTGCCGTAGTGATTTGGGCTAGATAGGACCATATTGTGTCTTCGCTCAAATGGACTTGATCTCTCCTACAACGAGAGATGACTGCAGCAAGATCACCTTGCGAGCAATCTATGGATAAAACCCGTGAGGAAGGTAAAGGAAGGTATGAGGAGTCAGAAGAAGACGCGTCAAAAGGCAAAAGGGAAGTGTAAAAGTTGAAAGTTTGAGTTGAAGGTGTTTCAGATGAGATTGAACTTACATTCCATCAAAATATAAAGCATAAAGTTCTGCTTATCAACATAACGTTCAAAATACTTGACGATATGATCATTACCGCGTAAGTTTTGAAGAATATTAACTTCTTCACCAAGTTGACGTAAATCACGTTCATCCATTCTACCATAGTTGAGTTCTTTACGAGCTAGAATCAAACCGTCATGAATCCTTCTAACTTTACGAATGATACCGAATGAACCAGTACCAATGATATCTAAAGGTTCGAATTGAGTATCCATAGATTGTACAGAGGTATTCTGAGGAGGAGGAGGGTCAGGTTGAGAACCAGTTGAAGGTGACGATCCTAGAGCGGTTGAAGAAGCGTCATTGGAAGGTTGAAGGTTAGGAGAATTGGTATTAGAATGCTGCTGCTGCTGCTGTTGTTGTTGTTGTTGTTGATTGGTCACTGGATTGTTTCTATTGCTGACGGTGGGCATGATGAATGATGTTGACTGTGATGGATGGATGGATGGGATGGGATGGGATGGGATGGATTGGGATGGCTGGGTAGAGTGAAGGTCAACAGTCAACAGAGTGAATAGTAAACAGTCAGGGGAAAGTTAAACACAGAAAGGGATTTTAGCCATCGAACTTAATAAGACACTTCAAGATTAGAAGCTTTTCATCAATTTCATCTTAGACCAAATACACTTTTTCAATTCATTTCTACAATTCTCACTAAAACTACACTCACTCACTCACTCTCAAGCTCAACTTACTCATCTATCCACTTCATCCTCATCCCTCCAATAAACAAACTTGATATGTGGGTGCGGGGTACATGGATCATGGATCAGATAGTACATTGTAGGTGGAGGTTTAAGAGCTCAAGCGTGTCTGTCACTGATGACAATGTAGGGCCTAAATAGATTTCATCATCCATCTTCTGGTTGATCTTCTTGGGGATACACTTCCCCCACAAGCTTGCAAATTGTACATATTGCAATCCACATTTGTAAAATATCTTGAGGATGAGTAAAATTTTATGGCATTCAGTTGATAAATATCTTGAAAAGAACTTTGAGATGATGATCTCATCTCATCTCATGGGCAGGGTTTGTATATATCAGTATGAAATCAGATCTTATCTTTCTTGCTACAAAAATGTATCTCTTTTGCTCCATGTTTGCTTTTTTCTGTGTCAGAAATCATCTATATAGTCAAACAAACTTTGGATTTATGTTTCAGATTGTGTATTTGAGTTAATCTTCCTTGATGAATAGTACCTTAATACCTTGTGTTTTTGATATCCGGCAATGCTGTGGTAGCTGTGCAAACTGGATTTTAAATCTGATGCTAAAGCCCCTCTCCTTTTAACTGTCATCTGACCCACTTACTCAGAAAGCCCTAAAGCTTCACATAGGTCAAGTTCATGATATCATTGTGACGATCATGGGGTATAAAAGAAATACAATTCTTCAAAGATCCTACTTGATTGCCACTGAATTGAAATAACCCATTAGAAGTTAAATGGCCCTTCAAGTCTTCATCTGACATCTACACAGATTTTACGAAAGATTATACAAACCCACAATCAAAAAAGTGTGAATGGACATCAAATGTCATACAAGTTTGAATCTAGTTCATTTCTTTTAAAACCGTAAGTTACATTGCAATTCACAAGCCGATTTCACAGATTGTGCTAATGACCACCAACCACAAAAGAAGAACGAAAAGGAAATTGATTGAAGCGAAAAATGAAAAGAAATTTCATCATACCACTTCAAACCATCTATAACACACATCTTCTTCATGTTCAAGTGATGAAGGTTCACCAATCCTTAATGCATTGATCAAATGACTAGCTATGTCAGTCAATCGTTCAGTAACATTTAATAATGTTCTTATATACTATCATAAAATCAGTCATCAACAAAAATAAGAATGAGTATACGAAGAGACAAGTTTTGATGAAAGATCAATCGAAATCACTTACCAATTCAAATTCTCGAACTCCAAGTTGATTACGTTTCCTATTCTGATTCTGAATATTTAATAACTTCGACTTAATCTCTAGTATAGAGACTTCAACTTGTTCTTCCACTCGAAATGCTAAATAATTCTCAAAGCTAAATTCATCTTCTAACAACTCAATTCCAATCTCTAAATCAAATTGATTATGAGCAAATGAACCTTGTGGATCATTGTGATATTTCAGGCGTCTTTCAAAGATTGATTGATGATTGGACATTGTATGATCTAGTGACCTAGATTCCGGTCGAGTTTTAATCAAGTAGATCTGTTGCTATAAATCCACGTAAATAAATCGAGTACCATGGTCATGATCACAAGATGATTCAAAGTCAATTATCTTGTTTGGTTTAGACAAATATACAAACAAAGGACCAACCTGAATGGAAGCCTCAGCCAAATCTCCCAAGATAAGTTCAACCTGCGCTTCCAATGTATTTTCAGTTCCCAAGAATTCTAAAACCTTATGAGCTCGTCTGGTCAGACCTCTAATCATCCACCACATCGAAATACGTTCTTCTTCACCCATAAAGAGTTCTAGATCGAATCCCATTAGAAATGTAGATAAGCTAGACCTAAGTGAAAAGTAATAAATCAAAGCTCTCAATGATTTCAATTCGGATTCTGAGATCTCCATTCTCGTTATAAATGTCTTATAATCATATCATCCACGAAAAATAGACGAATGGCAACATATACAAAAACACTCGTAAGTTTTTTTTAGTCAACGTGATTCGAGTAAATTTACTTACCGCATCATATAAGGATAGCCATTGTTTCAAAGAATTACAAAGTATACGTCGAGCTCTAGGACGATTAGCACTAAAGCTAGTCAAATGGTTCACAAGCAACTTTCATTTGATAAAAAACCAAGTCCTGAGATTCAATATAATCATCATTGGTTAAACCTAATCGGTCCATTAATTAAGACTTACTCCTGATAATCTACTCAGAATATATCGAGTATTCGGTTCATCAGATTGGATTGTGATACGATGGTTTGTAAACTCGGACAAACATTGTCGTGAGAGCCATTGTAAATTCTTCTGTGGGTCGAATGCAATTGTGTTACCCTCTTGAAAAACGGACTATAGATTGAGAATTTGTAAGCGACGTGATACATGAGATCTTTGGGTATTGAAGAAAATAAGTTAGATCCTCATACCATTAGCGTTGACCGCACCAAAGGTAAAGCAGTTTCTCTTTTCCTTGAAATCGTACCAAGATAAAACTGGAAACAAACCAGAATCCAAGATCAAGATCACTCAGAATAACAACGGATATATAGTCGAAGGAGATTAATGGACTGATGACTTACCAGCCATTCTGAGATAGAATTGCCATGAACTATATCTAATGCCTCAATCAACCCATCAATCAAACCAATCCACCTTTCGTTTACTTCATCAAAAGTACTACAAAACTGAATAGGTCTCGGAGGTGCATTAGATGACATATGTCGACTAGCGTTGAGATCGAAAGAAGACTTGATTTTGGGGTTGATACTGGAAAAATCAATTGTAGATATTGGTTGAGGATAATGTTTGAGTGATCCAAGTGCCTCTTTTGATGAGATCAGATGAGATTGAAGGTTTTGGACAACATGGAATGAAGGTGATGAGGTAAGCGAGGCCAAACTATATAGAAATTCCTGGATTGGAAGTGAACGTTTAGGCATCATAGCCAAGCACCATTGATCAGCTTATAATCCGAGATAATATAAAATCCAGGGAAAACCACAGTGAGGATCGGTGAAATCCTGATCAAGAAGACCAACTGTGCGACACATTTGTCATAGGTGACACTTACAATTCGAAATCGAAGACGTTCCATGAGCGCTTCGCGAAATCCTTTCATGTCTATCAAAAAAACCAATTGGTTTGAACAGTAAGCTAGGCCTCCAATGATACGGATCATATTTTCAAATACACCAACCATCTAAGCAAGAATCTAATTCGCGATGAGCGGTGTCCAAATCGGTCAACACCTGATCAATAGTGAACTGATCGTAAAAATTTACTCCTTGACAATCAGAATTGATGTCTTCATTCTGTTGCACAATTCATCTTTATATTAGCTCTCATACCATCTGATGGATATGGGTTACAATGGCGTACCTCATGCAGATGACCCTTGACTATTTCATTCCAGACGATCGCACAACACTTCATTGTACCCACCAAGGCAGCTCGCATGACTTTCCTGACCAAGTCTTGAGGGTGACTGTCCAGGGAGTCAAGATGTTGAAGATAACTTGACACTAATAATGTTTGTGAAAGCGCATGTCCAGTGTGCCAAGCAAACTAGAAATAAGTTTGACTTTAGATTCAGTTCTTCAAAGTTTCCTATATTCCCACAAATTGCTCACTTCGCATGCCAGAGAAAGATCCAAGATGGTGATCACTTCAGTTGGAGTGAGGGATTGCTTGGGATCGAATTTCAGCTCGTCCTGTGGACTCAAGCCCATTCCCATATCCATTCTGTGATCCATAATCTGTAAGAACTCCGCTAGTCAGTTTTGCGCTGAACTCAATATCAAGAAATGGTGCACAAACCCGAATAGCAGATATGATATCAATTACGGATAACTCAGAGCTGATCAAAACTTCATCCTTGCCGAGTTCTATAACCAACCCCGATCAAGGTATCCAAAGTAGTTTGTCAATCATTTGATGTTATTCTTGATCTTTTGTTGAGAAGTTTTCTCATCGGATGGAAGGAAGAGGACTGTACTGTACGGTGTGCGCCATCGATGAACACAGACGTGATGTCGAGCCAAGGCCCATCCGGATCGGCCTCCTGTTTGTCCATCGGAATTCTAGGCAAACGTCCAAGTTATCGAGCAACTCAACTGGTTACTGATGAGCTTTCTAGGTCTTCAGAAATCCTTTGTGAATATCTCGGATGATAAACGCTTTTGATAAGTTGTGTGAGTTGGCGTCGTTTGAATGAATGTTTCGTTGAACTTGGAAAAAAACTTGATTTGACGGGACGCACCATCGACCATTCGAGATCCCGAGCACCGGTACCAATAGACGACCTCATGAGGACGTTACCACTCCAAACCATGCCACCTGTTTGATTTTGGAGAAGCTTCGCAGGCACAGCACCTCGTCGACTCCAACAACTTGTGCAAGGTAAAATTGACAAAATCCTCCTCTCACCTCAAGAGGCTTCGAGAGATCCAAGGGATGCCGCGGTTCGAGCTCGGTTGACTAGCCCTCAATCCGGTCAGTGACTCGCCCACACGGATGGAACTGCCAGAGATCTCGCAAATGTGAGCTGATGCCAGATGGATAGCATGTGCACATCTTAGGGTCCTAATTTTCTTATGTAAGGGTCTCTTGAACCTCAGAGATGCGAGGCGTTCAAGATTAACAAACAATGGGACCCTTTAAATTGCCATGGCGGTAAGTCTTTGGTTGCTTGAATATTGGCCGTGTCAGACCTGAGGAAGGAGGAAAGCCTAGGGGGATGACCAGACCACAACTGAGATTTGGCTTCAAGATTCTGGCTTGATTTGTCTTTCATACGTATTCATCCTTTCTATTTTATCCATCTGTCTTTTTCTTATTGAGATTGTTCATCAAATTCTTTGTGTTTTTTTTTCAATTTTCAATTTTGTTTTTAGTTTTGTTAATAGCATTGACCTCAAAATATCTTTTCTGGTCGATAATCGACTATCATCTTCAACTTCAACCAATGGCCCCTACCTTTGAAGATTTACTTCATCGAGCACCAGCTAACGAGAATCCCTTCAGATTTGTTAATGAGCTAATTGAACAAGCATTACATCCTTCCACTCCAACTTGCGCTGCACCAGCTCTGGTCTTTTTCGGAATCGTCTACGGTGCCAACATTTTGGTTTGTTTGGCAATACTCATCATTCCCCTACATAGGGGTCCGGCTTCTAAAAAGAAATATCAGACACCTTGGAAGTCATATTATATTGTTGGAAGTGAGTTAAAGTTGATTGGATTTCAATCTTCACTATTCACACTGATTCCTTCTTTGTTCTAATCGGACGAATTAGGTAACGTGCCTTATTACATACCCAATAGGTGAGTGTGAAGACCTATCATACGGTATTATGAACATGTTTGCTTACCCATTTTTGTCCATTGTTTCCTCAGCGGCCTCTTCATGGCGATATTACAGTTGTTCACTTGTGTAATATCTGAAATATATGTGGCTATGCTCTACTATTCTGCTAAATCTCCCCGTTTTCAACGAGCTACGTTTGCTCTGGTCTGGTGAGTGGTCACATAACCTACGTCCTATCTGGCATCACAGACTCACCCCGAATTCTATACTTCGCAGGGTCGAAATCAGGTGGCTTCCAATGTACCTTGGAATTTGGTCAACCGCGTGGGCATCATTTGCCTTTTGGTGAGTGATCTTATGCCAATACTATTCCAATTTGCTAGGTTTTTTTGACCCAACTCTTCATTCTTTCAGTCTATGTTCAGCTAGGTCTACCCTCCATCGGTTCCTACACTTCAAACCACTGGTGTTCAACTCATTTTGTTTCTCCTTCGCCATTCTCGTCTTCTTACTCTCTATCTACTGGACTGTACTACAATTATCATTCTTAAAAGCAGCTTATTACCAATATGATATCTTCTTTAAACAAATTCATTCGGCAATCATTCAATGGGATCACAATGGTGGAATTGACTTACCTTCTTCTGAACTTAATCAATTGACTGAGAGTTATGACATGTATGTTCGATCTTCAAAGGCTACTCTTAAACATACAAGGAGTACATATCTCTTCTGGACAGCTACAGCCATACCTATCCTTACGGTGAGTGCTCTATTCCTTGTGAAAGAGACTGATCATGAATTGAACTGATGTTTTTTTTCAAACAAACTTGGCCTTCTAGTTTTATGCTATTTCTGTTTGGGCTCTTTTGAGCCTAGTCCTTGGCTGCGCCAAAGTAGCTTCTGGACAAATTAGTGTCTTGGAACACTTTCAGTCTGATATTTCACAAACAGATACCGAATCTCTTCGTACATCAACTGATTTTGTAATCAAACCTCAAGAAAGAAAAGAAAGTTTGAATGGTATTAATGGAAAATATCTACGAAGGAAATATAGTGAGTCATATATCACTGAGCAGATCTTATGAAACATTAGTACTGATCATTTGAAAACAAAACCATTCAGTCAATCTTGTGGCTCAATCTAGTTGTTTGTTCTTTGGACTTTTCTTTGACACAACGGTGGGAATATATCGCTTGGCTACAGGAAACCAGTCAATTCTTCAGTTAGTAATTCTTCATCTTGCTCATGCGCTTGATCTTCTTACAATTCACACTTTGGCTGATATCTTGGAATTGATGGTTTGCTGCTTTAAAGTCAAAAGACTCGAGTCATAATGACACTACTGGGATTTGGTGGCTCTCTATTTATTTTCCTGGCGATGACAATCCAATGCGTTCGCTGTTTCATTTATATAACTGATTTGCCAAACTAATAACTGAACCAAAATCTTGCAAATATTAGTACTACATGATCACAGAAAAGAAGGGACAGAAAATTTTGGCAGTACCTACAAATGAACCAACTATAACGCAGTTTCCGATACAGGTAAATGAAAACCACAGCCTTGCATGCAACTTCTTCGTGAAGTCTTGACTGACATCAATGGCTTTTTACAGTTCCGTACCAGCATTGAACGATCAACTTCAAGATGATCATTTGGATCATAATTTCTCATCTTGTGATGATCATTTATACACATTTAAGTTGTTGAATTGCTCACCTTATTTTTTTTTCTTTACTTACGTTTTCATTCCTTGCATAATTGATTTTATGCTACATTCTATTAGTACTATTCGTAACTAAATATATTGTGGCTTTACTACGAACGTTTTTTTCTCGATTTTATAACCATTTCATAAAGGTTTCATTACATCTTGACGATTCTTTTTTCTCCTTTCAAATTCTACTCTCTGCCGAAATAGGATAATCAGTCTTTCACTCAATTTTCTTTTGTAATCTATGTCAAATATAGCAGCTTGATTTGACATTGAGCAACACAAGCAGATTATCAAACTTCTGGAAGCGTTCTTGGTTTGAGTTATGGTCTCTGTACCAGACTTTTTTTGAGTCTTTTGCTTGAGACTTTTGGTTCGGATTCAAGAAGTTGTGAGAGGTTACACATGGTACTAGTAGGGTTCCTGTACGCCAACATTGATCAAAAACATCTGAGCATGTTTGGTTTCACCAATCAGTAGCCTCTGTTGGTATCACTCGAATCTTGAAGATTTGAGAATTATGTCTCGTCTGAGCAACACCGGTGCTCAGCAATTCACTCACGGCAAGGTAGTATGATAAGCAAAACATTTTGTTGCAAGGATATTATGTATCTCTTGAATGATAATTCCACTCAATTCCTTGTGCAAAACAGGGAAGAGGAAAATAATTAGGTATCGTGAAGATGACAAGTCAGTCAACATTTTGTAGTAGGTTGAGAATAGTGGATTCAATTTTTGGCCTTTTTTTGCCTAGGAAAACTTCATTCTTACACTGCTATTTTGAGGCCCGTATTGTGTACCAACTAAACCTGAAGTAAATTCAGGATCAACTTCTAGGTATCCATATTCAAGGTAATTGTCATACAATGACGTCTCAGATTTCTGAGTCCAAGTGTTGGAAATGCATACAGGCTGATTGGTTGAGGCTTTATTCATCAAAGATATTTTTTTATTTCTCCTGGTCATAGAGGTACATGGACTTTTGGGTACAGTGCTTTAATGAAATCCTGATATAAATTTCTCGTTGTAGAACTTGTTTGTTGGTGCTGTATATACATAATTCTTTTTTGACTAGCTTGTCACCATATAGGTCTTACCGGCATTCTTATGAGGTTGAATCTCCTTGCAAGTTTGAGGCGGGGATCATGAATAGAACTTCCGGAGTATAACTTTGAGAAATCAGACATGAGATTCAAATAAGATGGCATCACAGGAAGTTGGAATTATGAATAGCAATCATAGCTGAAGCATCTTGGAGACTGCGGGGGTGCGAGCTATAGTGCGGGGCTTTTGGCACTGAGCAGACGCACCGGTGCATCCGTCCCAATCACCAGGCCCGCCTTGAATGCTTGTCTCGATCGCAGGGTCTGAGTTGACAGAGACACAATTTTAGATCTTGAGTCGAGTATCAACAGCTTCTTGAGTATTTCATCGACCTCTGAAGCTACTGTTTACCACCTTGACAGACTCCCAACACTCACTGCAGCAATTCGAATCTATCGCATCAATTTTTCTAGGTCCTCGAACGTGTTTTTGCATCGATGGCAGACGGGGCCAAGCAAATAGAAGACGAAATCCTTAATGAGCAAAATGCCCGTCAGGCCAAGTTGGACAGTTCTACCCAACGTGTTGACACCAACAAGGTTTCTTTGACTGGTGGTCCATCCTATGATCAAGATATTTATGGTGGTGGTGGTGGTAAAAAGAGGTTTGAAGGTTACGACACTAGGTATGTTAGAATCGCATCCACCAACCCTTCACAATTTGCTTTCGACTACATTGTATACACAAGTATGACAAACATCTGACCTTCATTCCATCGAATCCGAAAAATATGATTTGAAGTATTGACGTTGGGCGACGAGCGGACGAAGATGATCGAATGCAAGAAGATGATGATCAGCCTGTCAGATTACTAGACTCTTGTTGGTGTCATTATCTTAGCTCTCTATTTACTTTTTCTTACAAGACCGAGCTGACAAAACTTCACGTTATCCGGAAGACAGACACGGCACCCAAACAATTTTTACAAGAGCTAGCAGAAGACGCGGAAGACGCTGAGGATCCCCTTTTGGCCAATCTGAAAGCCAAACAAATCCAATCTCGTCAATCAGATTATCATAATCGCCGATTCGATCGAGATGCGAGTGGAACGGTGGTCGCAGATCCTTTCAGTTCGTCGGCTGATGGTAATGATCAATCTGAAGGCGGGTACAAAGAAGCGATGCGACGAGCTGAGCTGGAGCGTGAAGAAGCAAGGGTCATGAAGAAAATCAAAGAGCAGCAAGAAGAAGGATCTAATAACATGGATGTGGATCGCCCTGAGCGCTCGAAGACCCCTACTCCGGAAGAACTTGCTGCTGCGGCTTCCACTGCACGCAAAAAACGACGCTGGGACGTGGCTGATCCGAACGCAGTGGCATCTACGAGCGATAGTACTTCTGAATCTACGCTTTCAACCGGCGAATGGTCAGCCTCCGAGACCGTGCCGCCACCCAAGAAGACGAGGTCTAGATGGGATCAGACGCCTGCCGCTACTCCTATGGGTGCTTCCGCCGATGGTGCTACCCCCAGGAGATCACGATGGGATCAGACTCCAGTGGCAGTCAACGGTGCTGCCACTCCAATGGGACAGTTCGGTCAAACTCCACTTGTCTCGAGTGGTGCGAATGGACTTGCTCTACTGCCAGGAGGAGAACTATCAGAGCTCGACAAGCGGAATAGACCACTCTCCGATGATGAACTGAACGCGCAGCTCCCGTCTGAAGGATACGAGATAGTCACACCACCAGCAGGATATGCACCAATACGTACACCTGCCCGAAAACTCATGCAGACGCCTGTTGGTTCTTCTAATGGCTTCACCATGCAAGATGATTCTTCCGGAGGAGGTCTGATGGGGCTCATGCCCGAATTACCTACAGAGATTGAGGGCGTTGGACAGTTGCAGTTTTTCAAGCCCGAAGACGCACAATACTTTGGCAAGATCTTATCAGGCGAACAGGACGAAAGTAACTTAACTTTGGAAGAATTAAAGGAGCGTAAAATCATGCGTTTATTACTCAAAATCAAGAACGGCGCCCCTCCAATGCGAAAGACTGCTTTGCGTCAAATTACCGATAAAGCTAGAGAGTTTGGCGCTGGGCCGTTATTTGATAAAATCTTACCTCTATTGATGGAACGCACCTTAGAAGATCAGGAACGACATTTGTTGGTGAAAGTCATTGACCGAGTCTTGTACAAGCTAGATGATCTTGTTCGTCCTTATGTCCACAAGATCCTGGTAGTCATCGAACCTCTTCTTATTGATGAAGATTATTACGCACGTGTCGAAGGAAGAGAGATCATTTCAAATCTATCGAAGGCCGCCGGTTTGGCTCATATGATTTCCACCATGCGTCCCGATATTGATCACGTGGATGAATATGTCCGTAATACTACTGCTCGGGCCTTCTCCGTGGTAGCTTCTGCGCTTGGTATACCATCTCTACTTCCCTTTCTGAAAGCAGTTTGTAAGTCGAAAAAGTCATGGCAGGCTAGGCATACAGGTATCAAGATTGTCCAGCAAATCGCAATCATGATGGGTTGTGCTGTTTTGCCCCATTTGAAAAACTTGGTGGAGTCTATAAGTCATGGTCTAGAGGATGAGCAGCAAAAGGTGCGAACAATGACAGCTTTGGGAATTGCTGCTTTGGCCGAGGCAGCGTCGCCCTACGGTATTGAGAGTTTCGATAGTGTATTGAAACCTCTATGGACTGGCATAAGAAAGCATCGAGGGAAGGGTTTAGCAGCGTTCTTAAAAGCAATCGGATTCATCATTCCACTCATGGACGCTGAATATGCGAACTACTATACAAAAGAAGTGATGGTCAGTCAGCCACCATGTTTCAGGTACCATTTCCCCGAAAGACTGACCTTCGCATAAATCTGTACAGGTCATTTTAATTCGAGAATTTCAGTCCCCCGATGAGGAAATGAAGAAGATTGTTCTCAAAGTCGTCAAACAGTGTTCAGCAACGGATGGTGTCCAACCTCAATATGTGAAAGTGGAAATCCTTCCTCAATTCTTTGCCAACTTCTGGGTTCGAAGAAGTATGTCTTACAGGTTTCCTCATTCATATTTTCTCATGTTGAATATCTCTTGTGTCTGGTTATAGTGGCATTGGACCGAAGGAATTACCGCCAGGTAGTAGAAACCACTGTCGAACTTGCCAACAAAGCTGGTGTCACCGAGATAGTCAGCCGAATCGTCAATGATCTCAAAGACGAGTCAGAACCTTATCGAAAGATGGTGATGGAGACCATTGAAAAGGTTATTTCAGCCTTGGGAGCCAATGAGATTGATGAACGATTGGAAGTACAGTTGATCGATGGTATCATCTATGCTTTTCAAGAACAAACTGTTGAGGACATTGTCATGTTGGAAGGGTTCGGCACTGTTGTACATGCATTAGGTGCGAATTTTTGCTTTTACCAAAGTCGTATCCGTTTCAAAGCTGATTCTTTCCGAACCAATCTATGCAGGTATTCGTGTTAAACCATATCTTACTCAAATCGTATCAACTATCTTGTGGCGGTTGAACAACAAGTCAGCCAAAGTACGTCAACAAGCCGCTGACTTGACCAGTAAGCTCGCAGTGGTGATCAAGCAGTGTGGGGAAGATCAACTACTTTCCAAGTTAGGGGTTGTCCTCTTTGAACAGCTTGGTGAAGAATATCCTGATACCCTTGGAAGGTACGCTGGTATTTTCTCATATTTATAAGCTAGGCTTGGACTGATCGACGAGCCCTGCATTTACTTTATGAACACTAGTATCATTGCTGCCGAAGCTTCAATTGCCAATGTTGTCGGAATGACTCAGATGAGCCCACCGGTAAAAGATCTACGTACGTCAAACATCTTTATGATCATTTCCTGCCCATCAATTTCTCCTGACAAGTTTCTTGTTACTATTAGTACCACGGATGACACCCATTCTTCGTAATCGACACGAAAAAGTCCAGGAAGCTTCGATCAATTTAATCGGTCGAATTGCTGATCGAGGTGCTGAATTTGTTTCTGCAAGAGAGTGGATGAGAATTTGCTTTGAGCTATTAGACTTATTGAAAGCTCACAAAAAAGCTATCAGACGAGCAGCTGTGAATTCCTTCGGATATATTGCCAAGGCAATTGGGCCACAGGATGTGTTGAGTGTACTGTTGACTAATTTGAGGGTGCAGGAAAGACAAAGCCGAGTGTGTTCGACTGTTGCGATTGCAATTGTCGCTGAAACTTGTGTACGTTCTCCTTCGCAATTATCAAGGTTTGATACTCCAGTGAAGATACTAGGCTCAAATTGATTTATCACAGGGACCATTCACATGTATACCCGCGATCCTCAACGAGTACAGGACGCCAGAATTGAATGTTCGCAATGGTTGCCTGAAGTCGCTGTCATTCCTTTTCGAATATATGTTTGTTATATTTCAGAGTCTATCTTCCGCTGCATTCTCACATAAGGCTCACGTATCACGTAACACTCTTAGTGGCGAGATGGGCAAAGACTACATCAACTCGGTGACATCATGCTTGGAGGATGCACTCACCGATCGCGATTTAGTTCATAGACAGACTGCATGCTCAATTGTGAAGCATCTTGCATTGGGTACGGCTGGATTGGGGCAGGAAGACGCAAATCTCCATCTTATGAACTTGGTTTGGCCGGTGAGTAGCGCGTCTTCATCTACCTAGCCAAGTGATACCTTGTGCAATTGGTTTTAAATTTTGGCGTTTTTGCCTTCCATTTCGTGCAGAATTGTTTCGAGACTTCGCCACATGTGATTGGCGCTTGCAGTAAGCTTTGATTTCTCATTGCATGATCTTGCGTGTCTAATACGTGACAAGGCTGACGGGTCCTTCATTCACAAATCCAGTGGATGCCATTGAGGCTATGAGAGTGGCCGTCGGACCAGGCGTGGTACTGTTGTACACCTTACAAGGCCTTTTTCATCCAGCTCGAAAGGTTCGAGAAGTGTATTGGAGAGTGGTAAGTGCCATCCTCGTTATGGAATATGATCAGTCAAGTCTGAGATTGTTCATCTTTTTCTGCCATCGGGTGTAGTACAATTCAAATTATCTGGGAGCTGCAGACGCGATGGTACCGTTTTATCCGAACTTGGCAGACGCTTCAGACGATTTCAGAGATTATAGTCGGGATATGTTGTTGGCGTGGATTTGAGACTGAATATAAACAAAAGATTGGTGATAGTTGTGCCATGGAATGTGTGTGTTTGTAAGACCAACAAATTGCCAGCCCCGCACCACCTTTTCGTGAGATAGATTTGTTCTTTTTCGCAATCGAGCTGCTGTTATGTACATGTGTAAGTGGCCGGATGTATCTCATCAGCATCTGCTTATGCCACTCAACTTCAGAGAGATTTTTTCAAACAGAATGTCAAGCAGTAGTCATTCTATTCCGTGGCCAGGTGACAAAAGTCGCCTCAAGTGGTACGTATAAATAAGACCAAAGATGATATATTTGCAATGTTTAAAAGAATAGGTTTTTATCATTTCGGTCAAGACATGTAGCAACCTAGCACGCCTTGGCCGTCCGCATGTCTCTTTACCGTGCTTCCTTGACAGGGGGATCTTCAAGATAGGAAACAAATCAAGATGATTGAAAAGTACCGTATTCTGTATGCATAATTGCAGACGGTGACCGGGACATCAAGAATACACTCGGGATCGACCACAATCATGACTCGTGGTACATTAGCTTCCATGATGTTTGTCCCAAATCCCTCTTGCGCAAGCTTTGTGAAGCAGATCCAGCGTCTTTGGATTTCTGAATGGACGAGTCTTTTGATTTTCTCAATGAAATCAGCATTTCCTTCCGCATCACCCCGACCATCATTTTCCCCTGCGTCGCTGCGAGCACACCTGGCATCTTAATTGCGTTCATACCACGACACCAAGTAGCAGAGTTGTTCGAGAAATATCAAGATACAATGGCTTTTTTCTTTTTTCTTTTTGCCTTTTTTTGCATTGCTTGAGACGTTGCGCTTGCCACTGACGTCAGGGAGGTATATAAGTACATCAGGAATTACGAAATCAAAGTCATACAGGCAATTCCGTAGCCAGATAATGAAATTATTTCAGATTGGTACAGATAGATAAGAACAGAGAATATGGGGGAGTAGTTTTCTTGCACTATGTCTTCATTCATCTTGGACGAGATTTTGGAGCATGGATTGGAACCCCTGCATCCTGGCACGCCTTTGCTGTCCGTACCCCTCTTTCCCGCGCTTCTTTGACCACTACCAAGATAATGAACAAAGACAGATCCAAGGTGTAAAAAACATTATTTTGGGTCTTTCATGTATTCAGATGGAAAGGATAGAAGGAAAGATGATTCGAACCCACCCTGTTCTGTGCAATCGCAGACCGGAAGATTGAAGATACACTCCGTGTTAATATCCAGTGGTAAACCCCTGTAGAAAGGTAGGATCAGTATGGGAATTACATCGTATCAAGAAAAACTATAACCTACGCTTCAGCATATGGATCGTACTCGTATTTTCCGTACTTCTTCTGACAGTTCCACGCCGCTGTGGTCAAAAATTCTGGTGTGAAACCGTATTTAGCAGCAATTTTTGAGCTACCGAAGAATTTCTTGATTGTTTTAGTTCCATCTGCTTGTACTATATTCATCATTCTGTTCAATTTTTGGTGGAAGGGGATGCAAAAGAAACTAGTATTTCAGCGAATAGTGTCATTCTCTATTAACATGGCCTCTCACTCAGCTACTGAAGAGGGAGGTGACCTACATTCCGGTATTGTCGCAATAAGACAAAACTGATGGACCATCAAAAGCCCCGTTAGGTCCTGAATGATCACATGGATCCTTCAAGTGGAAGAAGTAGTGTCAAAGTATCAGAGACAATCTATTGTGTTCCACAGAAATGCTCCTCATCTTGAATCAGAACTCACTTACACTTCCTCGGAGGATAAAGATACTCTGCACATCTCATCAGTTTGACTATAGATCCTTTTACAATGAGGTAGTAATTTTTATCGAACCAAAAAAACTCGCGAACCTGAGATTTCAATACAGCCGAGAGAAGCCGCAATGTAACAACCCGTTCGTATGCGTTCAAGGCCTCTGATTCTGGAGGACTCAGTGGCGCTTCCAAAAATGCACCATTCTGCAAAGCGCCATACATTCCCTTTTGCGTACTTATACCAGCTTGTAAGACTCCAAGCGTGTAGTTTGCAATCATCTGTTGTGTACGATCTTGCATCATCGACAATGTCCAGGAAAAATCTGCCCACTACAGGTATCCAGCACCCAAGAGGTTATCCTGAGATACGCAACAGAACGGATATCAAGGCTAGGAGTTTACATACCTTTGTATATCCGCTAATCACATCTGGAGGATCACGCATCGTATTCTGCCAAAGTCCAATCTCTGAAACTGTAGTGTATAGAAATCCTTGGATAGTTAAATATACCCATATTCCACAACCGGGAAAGACCCAACCAGGGACTATTCCTGTACTGGAAGCCAACACTCCAATAAGGCTTCGTAGAAAAATATGGAAGCACACATCAGTTGTTTCGTCCCTGATTCAAACTTACGCTGAGCTTGAAGTTGATGAAGGGAATTTACGTGGCAGTTTTGATTATTGTGGCGCTTCGTGGTGGGCTCAGATCTGTGACCTGCTCAAAAGAAGCGTAAGTTTCTGAGTGTGTCATGGACAAGGACGTCCGTAAATCATATTTCGACTCAAACGTACCATCGCAGGCGCTATCTCTAGTAGGACGGATGGACGACAAAAGAACATATTTCAGGCGGGTTCGAGGCAATAAGTGTGGTACACATTTGATCATGAGACTAACCCTGCACGCGTCCCACTCTGGAGTTTTCACAACGATTAGTGTGCATAAAAAGATGGGTGGTCAAGTTTATTTAAAAACTCACGCAAATGCGATGGATGTGTATATCGAATTCATGAGATCGTTCCAGTTCTGGGTAGCTACCAGGATATACCATGCCGGGGCTTGTGCTCCACTGCACAACTAGAGGAAGGACCAATTGTGAGGCAGTGATGAGCGGAAGTGTAGCTTACTGCGGTCTGTGAGGTGGTGTGGTTGACACTCACCTGTCCTACATCACACGACTGCCCGATTCCGCATGCCATATTTGTGACGTTCATGGAATTTGCGTAAGCCTGCAAGATACCGGGCTCGTCAACTTTTGGTTCGGTTCGCCCTTCTTTTGAAGATAAGAGCAAGAATCCTATCCAAACATACAACCAATGATAGAGTGGAGCCACCGGTATAATCTTCAAGATATTCATTGAGGTCTAGATCGTTCCATAGCTGTTTGTTCAAAGGTCGCTTGACACAGCTAGTACGTGCCTCTAACAAGGTGGCATTCACGGTCTTTGTTGAGCCTTTGAGACTGGTTACTTTGGTGTTGGGGTAAACGAGCTGTGCCAGGATGAACTGTATACTTGAGCAGAACAAGACTAGGTACCAAAATCTAACGCTTATCCTAATGGGTTCGATGGATTCCATGGTATGTGACTGTGCGAGCGAAATCGCAATCTTGTGCACGACTAGCGGAATGCGGTTTTTCAAGGTGGAGTGAGTCGGCACGAAGTGTGTGAAGCAGCGCAATGCTTAGTCTGCTTATTTGAGGACATGAATGAGAGCATCGAGGAGGCCTCTATCGTCATTGCTTCAACAGAAAAGGACGCATGTATCAACCCAAATTAGAAAAAAAATGTGACTCAAGTAGTTTCAACTGTGACTGATACATGTTTCCCTTCCTGATAGAAGCCTTAATCACTGCCGCTGGTCTCAACATACTGAAAGCAGTACCAAGACCAAAAGCATTTCAAAAACAGTCGAGCAGTCACAAGCTGGCTTTTTTTGTTTCAACACTGGGTCATCGTAGTACACACTTTTACAGCGTATTGGTTTCGTTTGCCAGACTTCATGATTATTGCTCAGGCAATATGTTGTTGATTCAATGATTACTACTATACACCTTGCTGACACCGTTCAATTGCCACATTGAGATAAGTCAGATCACAATCAGTCTGAGAGGAAACGCACTGCTGATTTACATGGTCAGCAAACCATCAATGATTGAAAATTGAATGTAATGATTATCAGGGTCTTCATGTCAAGAAATTTCAAATCACCATGGTTGGGCTTATCTTGATGGATCACTGCAGTGCAGTGCTTACCTCCAAACCCCGATGTTTTCTTCAATTTGGCCTACATCGTTCAAATGGAGAGCTTACTAAGGGGCATTGGTCAAGGTGAATGTTCCTTCTATATAGTTTTCTTTGTGCAGATAACGAGTACTAGACTTATGAAATCACCTCACTTCACTTTGAGTTATCAACAAATAAAATGTCGTTCAGAATAAAAATGCGCGATTCAAGTTCAAGATGAACACTACTGATAAAAATTACACAAGCAGTACAGAGGTTTTCTTTGCAGTCTTTGTACTTTTGAAAACAATACTTTTGCTAACACTGGGGGTACAACATATTTTAAGAATTTTGAGACTCGAGGCTTTCAGGAATGAAGCCTACAGAGTGTTACAGCGTGCACTTCAGCGTCCATAAGTAGATGGTAAAGTCGGCTTGTTGGCCAGAATCTCCTCAATCTCGGTCTTGATCTCTGGAGTGATTTTATCAATGATCTGATAACCAAACAGCATGATCACGACAGTCAATACAAGCAAGTAAACCACATTGATTGGAAGATAATCACCAACCTTCAAGGCACCGAAGTTTTCCACAAGTTGTTCAGGTTTGGTAGCTCCCAAAATCACAGTACTGACATGAGGATTAGAAGCAGCCCAAGCAAGAGCCAATTGCCCCACGCTACAGTTCAATCTCGGATCTGCTGCTAGCTTAGTCAATTTCTTGACCTTTTCTATTTCTTGTTTACCTTCTTCGGCTTGTAGTCTCGCAGCAGAATCTTTGAAGAATGCTTGATTGGTATCAAAGCGAGATCCAGCAGGAATGCCGTCGTTATACTTTCCTGAAGAGTTCAAATTATAGAAGAGGGTCAAAGTGGGATCTTGGGTGCACGCGGTGAAGATGGTAGGTTGATCACCGACCTGTGAGTAAACCCGACTTCAATGGTGACCAAATTGTAGATCCGTCTGAGAATGTGCGTTTGGGGAAAGTTGGAGATGCATGGAAGCAATACGCATGTTAAGTCACGGGGGCAACCAAACTCAAAGACACATAGATGCATAGAGATGAAGACGCACATCCAAGGTTTTTGAAAATCGGATCATACTCTGCCTCAAATCTCTCTCTGTGTAACACTGAGAATTGCCCAGATATGTTAGCACACAAAGGACGAGGACATAGAAAAGGTAAATCATATGACCCACTTGAGTATTGTGGTTGCTCCACTGTTGGTGCGATCAAATTGAATCTTTCTGCAACAGTGACCGCCTCTTGAATCTGTTGAGCACTCCATTCACTAGTTCCCCAATAGAATGCCCATCCTTTTTCGATCACATAGGTGAACGCCCGCACAATCTCTTCCATCGGAACGGTTGGATCGGCACGATGGGCATGTACAACGTCGACATATTCGAGTTGTAAGCGATCGAGCGAGCTTCTCAAGCCTTCGATGATATGCTTGCGAGAGAGACCACGCGAATTGGGCTCCTTTCTGCCTGTTCCAAAGAATATCTTTGTGGCTACCATGATGTCTGATCTCTCCCAACCAAGCTCCTTGATAGCATTCCCCATTTCGATTTCAGATTGACCACTGGAGTATACCTCGGCGTTGTCAAAATAGTCTGTGTGAAGTAGAATCCAAACGTGGAGAAGGTTATCTTCTCAGTCTCTTTACAATCAGAGTTCCAATTCACTTACTGCAGCCCTGAATTCCGTTGAAATTCGGTTGGGACGGGATCCAGATTAAGGAAAAGTATGACATGTCAGCTTTCATCTGGGTATCGCTATGCCAGGAAGAAGTCAGAAAGAATGAGCAACCAACGTGTTCATAAGCAGTTTTCATCAATTCTTTCACAATATTACCCTTTTGAGTTCCACCAACTGTGAGCCAGCCTCCATCTACATGACCGCCGGCATTAATGCACTTTGGCCACTGCACATATACCTTTCTTCGAAAAATCGAACTCACAGGAGAAAATTGGAACCCTGAGTCCAGAGCGACCCAGGCGATTGTATTTCATATCCTTGGGACTACATAGCCATGCGACGGTCAGCTTCAAAGTAAACTGACAGTAGGGCCAGTCCCGGACCAAAAACGTACTCAAACATAGCGGCACCGTTTGAGCTCATTCGACGTAAGAGTGGAAATGTATTTGACGATAGAGTATTTCGACCTCTGGCAGTGACGCTGAGCAATGAATAAATCGGAGGGAAGAATTCAAATTGAGACTTTAGCATTCCACTCCAGCTCATCGACTTCAATCACACTCACGCTAACCTAAACACATACGTCATGACTCATGATGATCATCTCCCTCATACAGTAGACTTAGTAGACCCGAATAACTCGGGTATCCAATTAGTAATCCGGACCGGCTCCGGTACCGAAGTAGTAGGATGGCAGGGTGGGAGATGATACCGGTGCTGAGGTAAAATTCATATCTTGAAGCCAAATCGATCAAGAGGTCATTCTCACTGCAGCTACTTCTCACATCAATTGACCAAGACTGCGTACGGCTTACAATTTAAGAAATTCAACTTGATTTACGATCGAACCATCAACTTCAACCAAAATATAATCATCAACTGTTCACGAGCTTACGGCGGGTTACATCTATTTATCATCATGACTTTCAGCCTAGATGAATGTATCGAAAAATTGTTGGCAAAACAACTGCTAGCGGAAGCCCTCCTCAAAGGTACGATCATGAATTCATGGCTCATGTAACATATATATATCGAGAACTTGCCAAAAATCTGACATTTATCATATCATGCTCGTTTAGAGATTTGCGAAAAGACAAAAGAGCTATTGATGAGGGAAAGCAATGTGGTGCATATATCTGCCCCGGTGACGGTTGTAGGTGATATTCATGGGTAAGCTATCAACTTATTTCATCATAAAACTGAAAATTTAACCCATGAGACTGGTATTAATCCTTTTCAATTTTTAAACTTCATTTATATGGTGCGGCCGCTGGGGAACACCTTGATCATCTTGTCTCGAATCAGACAGTTTTACGACTTGATTGAGATATTTCGGATCGGAGGTTTCTGTCCAGACACAAATTACCTCTTTCTAGGTATCTATTTTTGTTTGGCTCTCTCGATCAATCAAAGGCTAATCGACGAAATCTTTGACTGTGTAGGTGATTACGTTGACCGAGGTCTCTTCAGTGTTGAGACGATATCACTATTGACATGTTTGAAGCTTCGTTATCCGGACCGAGTTCAGCTTATCAGAGGAAATCATGAATCGAGGGCTGTGACGCAGGTTGAGTGGCCCTTCAGACACTTGTTCTTTAAACATTTTGCTGAAAACCCTCATTAAATGCACTCTCAGACTTACGGCTTTTACGCTGAATGTGTTCGGAAGTATGGATCACCTAATGTCTGGGCGTACTTTACCGACATGTTTGATTTTTTGACATTGTCAGTGGTGATTGAGGATCGGATCTTTTGTGTTCATGGAGGTGAGTATAGATTTGAAGATGTTGCCTCAATCGCGACTAATCGAAAGCCCTTTGCTTTGCTCATACGGCTTCGAATCTTAGGACTTTCGCCTTCAATTCACTGTATCGATCAAATCAAAGTCATCGACAGGTTCCGAGGTAAGTTGACCTCTCACTCCATCGCTCAATCACCTGCCACTGGGGCTTAGTTAATCTCTCTATCTTGCTCATCGTAGAAATTCCTCACGAAGGACCTATGGCGGACCTAGTGTGGTCAGATCCTGACCCTGATAAAGAGGAGTTTGCAATTTCACCTAGGTACGTTCATGACCACCGATCTCCACAGCACTTCAGTCGTCCTTGACGTCATATCTCAGCCTACTCGTAGCCTGCCAGAGCTGAAGCCCGGGATAATCCTTTCGTCGTATCGCCTTCATAATCCACAGAGGAGCAGGCTATACGTTTGGTGCTCAAGTGGTCAAGAAGTTTCTTGCTATCAATGATATGCATCATATCCTTCGAGCACATCAACTATGCATGGAAGGCTTTTCGGTTCTTTACGATGATCGCCTCTCAACAGTCTGGAGTGCCCCTAATTATTGTTATCGGTGTGGGAATATGGCTTCGATCTTAGAGATAGGGCCAGATGGCAATAAGCACTTTAACGTTTTTGATGCTGCACCTGAGAATGAACGAGATGGACCTCAGCAACAGATGCAACTACAACAGCAACAACAACAGGCTCAACTCGAATACCAACAGCAGCAACAAAACTCGGGTCAGCCTGTGAACCCAAACATGTATGCGTTACCTCCACAGATAGAATACGTGAGTAGCCAGTTTCACGTTATTAGAATGTGCTTCCATGTAACTCTAACCAAGGTAAAATCGCATATTGATTCTCATAATGCCTTTTGCCATAGTTCTTGTAACACTGTACGACTTCCCTTTCATACGTTCATGCCCTTTTGATACATACCCCTACCTGATTTGAAAGTCATTGACACTCCGATGGACACTAACAGAAAAGTGATGAGCGGATTAAAGCTCTTTGCTCAACCACCACACTCTCTGAGTGATTAGTCTGAGTTATCGTTATGATTCATTTGTTATGACTTACATTTAAGTTGATGTTGGAGGATTTTTGGATTGGGTTGAAACCCTGAATTCGATCGTTTTGTTTTTAATCTGGCAAAGTGATTACTTATCTGTTTGACATACATAGATTTTATTGAGTGTATTTTATTCTATTTGATGTACAGAGCACAAGAAGTAATTATTACCTGAATATTGGGGAAATGGTTTGGTGGATGAAGGTGAATGTTGTTAGTCTTGGCCCGTCACTCGCTTTGGATCAATGCTTATTTCTGTGTGACTTATGATTTCATCTGACATGATTGTGAGTGTTTCAGCGTCAAGACAAGCTTGGCAATGAATTTGTAACTTTATTATTGGATAGGATACTATTAGGCACGTCTGATTCTGAGGTAACAATCTCACATCGAATATTACACTCGAACTCAGGAAAAGTCATTATATTCCAGTAGTGTGAGTAAGAAGACGGCAGGTTGCAACGATGTCACTTTATTTGGGCAAACACTCCGCTTAATTTGAACATTGAGGAAGTATTGAATATCATTTTGGATGTAGAAGCACAGATGCTCATAGGTATAGAAGGAAGGAAAAATGTTAGAGAATATCATACAAGCAATACCTGTGGATACAAGCGAAGTGGGAATATCTCGATCAGTATTTCATAGAATGAAGATATATGGAACAAAAACTCACAGCGTTCAGACAACCATCCAATTCAGGATTATTTGTGACCTCTGGAGTAATTGAATAAATGGTCAATGAGTCCATAAAATCATAGTACAATGAGGAAAAAGGTTTACAACTCACGAGCATACTTGGCCCAAACGACCTTTCCACCCGTGGTCACCAACCCAAGTTCAGAGACGTTCACTTCAATGACTGTTCCCTTAGTCAAGACACCTAGTTGAGTGTACATAGGAGACTGAGGGTTCTTTTTGACTCCAATAACAGGTAGTTGGAATGTCGCCTGCAGTTCAGCTATTCAGAATGCCAGAAATTAGTATGTGAAGGAAACATGCTGCAGAGTGATGACTTACGATGTGTCACATTGGCTTTCTTCATTCTCAGTCCCATTGGTCGAATGAATCGCTCCATCTTAACCGGTTTCCTTGTAAAGTTTTCAGGAACAAAAGTGGCTGACCGTATTCAAATCATGTGAGCAGAAGGATCAAAGGGAGTCGACTAAGATGAGAACGATATCAAGCCACACAATCGATTCAAGACTCGCCTTTGGTGACCATCCGCTTCCAGCCCTTTTGTTTTCGTTTACCCGTCTTCATCACTTTGAACACCTCGTCCTCAGCAATTCCCCTAACCTTAGGAAGTGGAACAGAGTATTTTCCTGCTTTCTCCTTTCGTTTCTCTTTCAAAGCACTACTAAGAGCTTTAGCCTTGTTCTCCTTTTCACGATCCAAAAGATATGTCGGTAAAGCTCCTTCTCCATCATCTTTAGTAGATTTCGTCTTGACATCTTTCTTATCGTGTTGTCTGATTAATTTCTTCATTTCTACCTTCTCTCTGTAACGTTGAGCATGAAGGAGTTTGGCCTTATGACCATGCATAGATTGAGAGATTGCAGATCGTTTATGGACCATTCTGGCCTCTCGTTTTCTTGTTCTTTCTTCATGATCCAAACGTCTTCCTGAACGCTGAGATGAATTGAAAAAAAAAATCGATCAAGCGAAAAGATTGGTCAATATCGATTTATGGATACGACCAACTGAACGCTTTTCACCTTTTGGAATTCTTCAATATATTCTCCTTGAGGCATTCTGATCGATTATTGTTAGATGAGAGAAGTATAGGTGTTCTAATTTGAGGTTTTGGCACTTGAGCGTCTCAAATTTTTGTCCCACACTCAAAAATCAATAAACCTTTTACATACATTACATGTGCACATGATACATATGCAGTACACTACCGTATTACTCGGACCGTCTGCTGGGTCCGCGGACCGCCACTTTAGTGACCGATGGTGTGAATATGTAATAATCAATGACCATCTTTGATATTCACAACAGCCTGCTCAGCTCTGTGGATACCACAATTAGGGGATACAAAGTTGAATCCGGGCACGTGCCCGGGCATGTGCCCGGAAGTCCAGATTCCCGGAGACCAGCTGAAATCTGGGCAATTTTTTTTTTCCCAGCTTGACGCCCAGTTCCCCACCCAGTTTTCCACCCAGAAACTGATCACCCTTTTCCCATCCCATCAAGCTCCGCAAATAAACATAAGGTTTCATTTCATTTTCATCCATGTCTTTTTCCCAAGATTTACATTCGGATCACATCATTTCACCTGATCCATCTTCCGAACCTGATCCAAATCCTACCCAACTACAACTAGACCCTTCAACTCTCAGTCAAGTGCTCACTGGAGCGATTCAACTGGCACAATCAGCTGGTTCAAGTGTTTCCAATAGAAATAAATCAACAAAGGCAAAGATGCCTCGTAAGTCAAAGGCATCTCAAGCAAAACCTTCCTCGCCTCGTAAATCAAAACCTCGTCAACAAAAATCTAAGAAGTCCAAAAACTCAAAGACCATCAATGAAAGCTCTCAAGAAGACGATGAGAAAGGGAACAAGACTACTGTTCAATGGGAACACGATCACAATGCGGATGGGAAAACTTCAATGTACTTATTGCTCAATTGGCTTACGGATGAAGACAATTTCAGTAGATTCAAAGATAACAAATCGGAAAAGAGAGCTGTGGCTGAGGAGATTGAACGTTACTTGATTGAGAATGGAATTACATGGCGAGATGCAAACTCTATCCGAAAAAAGGTAAGTTCTTATGTGATGTTGATTGATCATAGTGTTCATTGATTCTGTTTCTCAATATAAAACTTGGCTTTGGTTGACAGATTGGCCGATTGGAGGAAGCTTGGCAGAAGGCTGACGGAGAGTGTAACCGGACTGGTGCGGGTAGTTGGAAGACAGCGCAGGAAGTTAAGGCTGCTAAGGGATGGGGTGATGAAGACGATGAATGGCTGAAGTTAGAGAAGGTAGCCATGGGTAAGCATTCGCAGTTGATCACAGTTCCTTTGGTTCGATTTCTGATTTGTCTTCTCCAATTCAATACCGCAAGAGCACCGCACTATGTTGCAGTTGTGGTGCGGTTGCGTAGCGCTTTTGGGCGCCGCAATAGCAACGCAATATAGTGCGGTGCCAGCGCTCCGCAATCCGGGTTCAAAAACCCCTTGGTCAGAAACCCGCACCGCAATTGCGGTCGGTTTTTGATGGTTATTTAGGGCAAATATTGCGGAAATAGGGCAATATTGCACATTTTCCGCAATATTTGCCCAACCGCTCCGCAACGGCAAGTTACAAAAAAAACACCCCATTGCGGAGTGGTTGCGTAGCGTAATAATGCGCCGACTGCGCAACGCAATGGAAATAGGTCGAAATCCATTGTGTTGCGTAGCGCTTGCGGTGTTGTCCAATTCTTTCAGCGCCTATCTTGAAGTTGTGCAAATATTACTTTGAACTCGAGCCGGTATTTGGAACTCGGCATGCTAATGTTAGACTGGCTGCTACCCGCAGTTTACCAGCTACTTCTCGAAATGTTGAAAGCAAGGATGACGGTCAAATCCAACGTGATGCGAGGGAACACTCTATCAATTCTAATTTAGCTTATGAGATGGACCAAAACGGCTCAGAACGCACTCAATTGGATGAAGGGATGAACGGATCCTTAGTTAATGATTCACACTTACCTAATGAGGATTCAGACGCTCAATCCGATGACATTACTATGGAGGAGATGAGGAGAGTTATGAACGACAACTTTGATGAAACTCCTGGAATTAGTGATACTTACACACCAATTCGAGCTTTTCAATCTTCTCAAACTCGGTCTCAACCTCAACTATCTTCCAGTTCCCTCAAACGCACTTCTTCAAAACATTCTTTGGAATCAGCAAGCCAATCGACCATGAGCAAACGAGCACGCCAATCTGGTTCAGCCTCTTCAATTCAAGGCCTTTTCGAAGGACGAAATTATGGATCATCCTCCGCCGGTGCAGATACTTTCACCTCCACAATTGAGCGTGAGGCGGTTATCAACCATGGAAAAAATATGGATCGTTTGACTCAACTCGCTGTCAATATGAATACTGCTATGTTTGGACAACCTACATCACAACCGGTCTTAAGTGAAGAACAAATCCAAAAGAAATCCTCAATTGAAATTGAATTGGCTGATGTCAAATTGAGTAGTGAACGATTTGACTTAGATTCTTGAAAGGAGAAGCACTTACTTGAAATCCAGCAAATGAAGGCTGAGATGGAACATCAACAAGTATTGAGAAATGCTCAACTCATCAGTACATTAATGCGAGACCATAATATGAATATACATGATGCTATGCTTGCAGCTCAGCAAGCGCAAGCAATGGTCCAATCAAGTTCAAGTGCGACTTAATGGAGGCTCCAGGTTAGTGTGAATTTTCTATATACTTGAATTATAATATGTATTGATATATCGTTCAACTTCTGACATACTATATGACGTTGATAAATCCATCAGGTCCCCAAAGATTTAACAAGGGTATATTAAATTTAAAGAAAGTCTATCTGATTAGTGAAATAGTCATAAAATACGTATAAAATCACTTGTAGTTCAAATTTATATTTAAATGAAATTGGTACTCTAAATGAAATTGTATTTACAATTTACCAACAAGTTGCTTTTCAAATACACGTTGACCTTGAAATTTATATTTAAATGAATTTGTTACTATTTGATTCACCCACTCGAAGTATTACCAAAAATCGAGTTCACTTGTATCCAGTCATCATATCACATGATGATTTCATCTCGAAAATTTTTGTCAAAGTCAAAATTTTTCAAGACAAAAAGGTTTTAATTGCAATTTCTGAAACTATCATATTTACATAAATGGTTAACATCAAAAGAAATTCAATTTAATCATTATTCCTTGTTTCCAAAAATTCCGCAAACAATTGATCCCTTCTACTCGTGTTGCGACCAGTCCTCAAAATAGCTTCTTCATCTTCAAACGCAGGAGCCTTGCGAGGGGCTTGTCGTGGTCTTGTTTCTGGTGAAAGACCAGCACTTATGTTTCCCAAAACTCCAGACCACGAATCTTTGATTGAAAGGAGAAAGTTATGTAATATCAAACATGCTTCAATCCACTGATTAGCGCGTAAGGCCAATAGAGCATTGCTGATAACCAATCGAAGTTCTTTCAATGATTGGAAACGTCCTTTGACCATTCCATTACAATGCTCGATTATAACTCGTATTGCACTGATTGCCTTATTGAAAGCGTCTTCGTCTGACCGCAAGCTGTTACCTCGACACCGCCTGAGACAAGGTATCACAACATCAGAGACCGTGTAACCAGAGTCTGCCAAAAGATATTCTCCATCATCGAAAAAGTCATTGGGTTTTTCAAAGAGCTATATTTATCAAAGATCATTGATACATCAGTATGTATACGATAGATATATCACAGACATTACTCACCTGTGAAGACCTGAAGACCCGTTGGTCATGTACACTACCACACCAGCCCAACTCATAATAAATCACCCGACGATGAATGTCGCATACAAGCATGATGTTGTAAGCATAAAAATTCTTCCGGGTCCAATAGTCTTTGGGATTTTCACGAGGTGCAGCAGCCAGCGGAATTAGAGTGCCATCTACGAATCCTACACAACCTTTGAAGAATGAAATTGAGCTAATTTCTTCTTTCAAAGCCGAACGTTCTTGAGGCGAAGGCCAGCGCATGTATTTTGATTTCAAATCGAGTACAGCTAAGATGAATCGAGTGGTCCAATTTTGGACACTCCCTTCTGTGAACACAGGTTGAATCAAATTCATACTCTTGAAAACGATGTCTGAAAGAGAAAAATACCTGAGCAATTGAACATCCTCGCCAGGTGGAAATGGTCACCACCATTACCACCGGTTCCTAAGTTCGCCAGGGCAACCAACGCCTGCCACCAAACGGGTGCTTGCTTCATGTGGGAGTTGTTATGGAAGATCGGATGGTCCTCGATCAAATCAATCAGAATGTTGAAAGCTCTTTTTGACATTCGTGCCTAAAAAGCATCCTGACTAAGTATGACAGCAATTAAAAGGCAATTCTTTAAAACTGACTCACTAGCTTGATGAATCCATCACCTCCTTCTATTAGCACTTGGGAAAACCAAGCGTTTTGCAATTCCTTGCGTCCACGAGAGATCCTGTTTAAAAAGAACCGTTTATGATTTAAGATTGTGAGGGCTTCGTCCAGAATTGCAAGCTCTGAAGTGGCCTTTCTGCGAAGTTGATATCCCAAGCGAAGGAGGTTGTAGCTGTGATCCAAGGCTGGTAGTAACTCAATAAGAGCTACAAGATGCGTGAGAGCCGCCTTCCTTCGATCATCCTCGGTGATAGCTTCGCGAAAGGTTTTCAAAGTGTGAATCATTCGGAAAAGAAACTGGAACCCAGCAATATCGAGGTCTAAGGTTGCGAAGAAGGGTACTTTTTTGTGAGCAAGCGGTTTTCTTGAGTGTCGGGCTACTTGAATGGATCTTCTGAGGTCATGTTTTCGAGTAAAACGAGGCATCAGATTGAAATGTAGCCTTGCGAGTTTGGATGATGAAATGGGGGAGCTGCTGAACGTTCGACGTCTGGCTAACTTGCTTGAGGAGCCTGGATATCTGGCTTACAAAGGGTTCAAAGTTGGAGGGCTGCCCGGGCATGTGCCTGGAAGTCCAGAATCGAGATTTACAGCCAAAAATGGGATCTGGACTT